CAACTAAAGGGGGTGGGAGGAGAGGCTTTACAACAGGCAGGGGATGCCCACGGATTAAAAGGGACTTTCTGAGTCATCAATACCAAGTCCTCCTGACCACAGTACCTTAGGAAGCAAAACAAAGCTTCTGAAGATTTCTAATTAACTTTTGCCATCTTTTAGAACTTCTGGCTCTAATTTTACTCTACTTGATTTTACAGTTTTGCAAAGTAAAGAGATGTATATATGCTTACAGTTTCATATTTTATGTTAGTCTGTATTCCCATCTGTTTCATAAAGCCCTTCTTTTGGGTACAGATGGGCAAATCTGATTCATCCTAACTATGTAAATGAGACTGAAGCTGCAACTCCTGTAACTGCTCCACATAATTCTCAGAGTAGACACACTGGATCTACAACTTGAAAAGCTGTTTTAATGGCCTATATAAGACTGATTTGAATTTTTTCTGTGGATATGGGTTAGTAATGGGCATTTGCCTTGCAAGTTAATATAAGCATTTGCAGGTACTTTTAAAATGCTTTATTATGTTTCTGTGGTTATCTCTAAGCAGGCTTAAACAACACAGGACCTTAAAACATTATGTGATTTTAAACAGAGGCAGCACCTAATTTAGAAACACAATGACAAGCAGCTACAGAATATATTCACGAGAATACGACTACGTCAGACAGATGCTGATGTTCTTTGTTTGGTAACACATCATGAACTATTACTCCGGAGAAAGGTCTTTATACTCAGTAATGATTCTCAAGGTCTGGGTTACAGATCACTTGCTTCCATCATCTGGGGGTGCCTGTTAAAAATGAACTGGGATGCAGCTTACATTTTCAGTATCTCTGGAGATGGTATCTTAAGGGTTGCATTTTAACAAGCATCTGATATCTCTGATGCAAAAAAAAGTTTAAAACTTTGAAAGGTTTTATTCAGATATATAGAAACACATTCTCTTACTCAGCTGCAGACATAGAGAGATGTAAGGTTACTGGTCCCCAGAAACCTCCACAGACTATCACAGAGCCCACCGGTCTTACCATCTGCTGCCAGGAGGGCAGTGAGGGCAGAGATGAGCCGCTGATCTCCCAGGGAAAACATCTCACTGAAAGCTCCGGACACAATCCTGACACTCGTTATGCATGTGATGGATGAATGGATAACTGGGAAAGGATTACAATCTCATGTTTCTATCTATACACACACTGGCAACTCATTCATTAGCTGACCACCCATTTGACAAGTCTCTGTAGAGAAAATGGACCCAAACATTGAGCACACCTACAGAAGTACTCAGGGTGGAGCAGAGCTTCCCAGCCAGGATGCCATGACCCTCGGGTGCAAGTGTTCTGAGATGTTGTTGCCGATGGCCCTGTCAGTAGGCAGGGCCCCTGTCTAGTCACCCACAGGCAGTCCCAACCACTTTCTCATTGCATCATACACATGTCATTTGTGTGGTATGGTTTTCTATGTAGGGAGGGAGGCAAACAGTTTGGGAAACACTGCTCTAATTTATAAAAGCACAGGGATGTGTGTGGGGGGGCTTCATCTCGTCATTTAATAATCACCTCTTAGATACCCGGGGTGCGGACTGCACAAAGTTGAAAAAGTAAGAAGTTTTGCTGGAATAAAAAAAAAAAGCTACACAGAGGTGGCCTCTTAGGTGACATGACTGGTAGGTCTCCTCTGAAGGCTAGTGGATGACTCATGGCAGCCTTCCAGCCTCACCGAGCCCCGGGTAGCGTACTTGGCACTGCGGGCGTCTCAGAATCAGAGAAGATGTGGCCTCTGCCCTGTGGAGCTCACCACAGAGCCAGCACACAGACTCAGAGGCAGCATTTACAGAGAACCATCTGCAGTTTGGGGATGTGTAACACGAAAGCAGGTAATGAGGAGCCTGACCCAGGGTCTGCAGGAAAGGATGAAGCTTCCCTGGGGAAACGGGAGGTACCCTGAAGCCCAGGAGGTGAGACTCACTAGGACAGGGCAGAGATGGGGGTTCAAGGCAGAGAGAATAGGTTTGAGGACCAAGGCAGCTGAAGCATTAAGTTTAAAAACGACCTGATAGGCAAAAAGCCGCAGAGTTCAGCAGATGCCAGATAACACTGGTTTTGCAGGCTACGTTCAGAATTAGGCCTGTAATTCCAAGAGGAAAGAGAGGTCACTGAAAATTTTAAGCAGGGAGATATATTCCCAAGTGAACTTTTAACATGTAGGCTCCTGGGCTCCAGACTGAAAGATTCTGGCCGGCTGGGGCCCCTAGTCTGAATATTAGAGATGTCAGGGGATCAGATATGGAGTCAGGCCTGGGAAGCACAGATACGGAAGAACGGTAGCCCGTGGGTCTATTCCAACAGGTGGCCTATGAACTGGCCCTTAAAATACCTTTTCTGGCATGAAAAAGACATACGTATTCCTCAAAGTGTTCACTTCTCTGGCCTGTTATCTCTGCTCCTGGATCAAAAGCAATGCCAGCATACTTCATTCTGGTGCCCGGCTGGCACCTGAAGTGAGAGACTAGGCTGGTGCGGCAGACAATGTCAGCGTGCCTGGCCCGTGTCCCCTGGCCACCCGCTGTGCCCACCTGTCTCACCTGCTCTGCCTTCCCGAGGATGACCCGGGGGCTGGCAGCTCTGCCTGCTGGGGCGTTCGCTCATCCTTCCACCCTGGCAGCCTCGTTCTTGACCGAAGGGAACTCTGGGTGTTTGCTTTTTTTTGTTTTTTCCACCTTATTTATTTTTTTAATTGAAGGATAATTGCTTTACAAGTGTTTAAAATAGCTGAGCATGTTCATCCCTATGGCGGGAAAACCTGAGATGTGTGTTTTACACAGTCTCCCAGAGAGGCCCAGCAGGACTGCATTCCTGCCGTCCGCAGCGGTGGCTGGAGTGACAGTGAAGCTTTTACTAGCTGTCTTCCCTTCGTGGCCTCACCTCCTTATTCCCCACTGGCGCTTTCCTCACCTCTGAAATAAACCACCTGCAATCAAATCTTTGTCTCAAGGTCTGCTTCTGGGGGTGCTAGCTGTCTCGTGCTGTGCCAAATGCCTTTAAAAAAAAACCAGTCTGGTGGACCAGTGTTTTGCAAATTATTATGAAGGACACAAATAAAATGTGTTAAAACCTGACTTGGTAACAATTATGAGTAATGATTCTGGGAAAAGAGGAGAGAATATTATCTGCTATCAGGAGAACCATCTTGTTTAAGTGCTCTATTTGAAGTTTAACCTAGGTATACATATATATTTAAAAAATGTGCCAGCCTTACTTTGCTTCTCTGGAATAAAAGAAACAAATAAGCAAACTATTCCTCTTGCAACAAAACTAATAAAAACTAACATTTATTGAGGACTCATTGTTTTCAGAGCCTTGTACACCTCACCATTCTTAAGACCAGGTAAAAGAATCAGTGATCAGAAACCTTCATGTTTGCTATACACACTACTATGTATAAAACAAATAACGAATAAGGATCTACTGTATAATTCGGGGAACTCTGCTCAGCACTCTGTAATGGCCGATATGGGAAAAGAATTTAAAAAAGAGTGGACGAATGTGTAACTGATTCACTTTGCTGTCCATCTGAAACTAACACAGCATTTTAAATCAACTATACTCTAATAAAAATCTTTTAAAATTAAATTTTTAAAAAATATTAAATATGTTCATACAGATTCACTTACAGCAAAGAAGCCAGCTAACTTCAACTCTGTTAATTCTACTTTAAAGCAACCATTCTCAAGCCAGAAGATTAGACTTCTTTATTAACAACCTTTCATTTGTCAACATTTTCCTTTCTGCTGTGAGGGAATGGAGCCCAGGTATCCAGCCCAGAGCCCAGAAAGTTAGTGAAAAGCCTGTAAGGCCAAACTGCCAGCACTGCAGAGTATCCTTTAAAAATTTTACACAATACCTTGGCTTTTGAAATCAAAACTTTAGGGATCCTTACCTCCCTGTGAGTCAATGAGCTCTGCGGCTATAATCACTACTATGTGAATTCATACTTCGTTTGTCTTAAAGTAAATTTCCTCAAGTGATTATGCCCTCATTACAGGGTTCTGAGTTAGGTGAATCAGTTTAGGTTACATTAGTCATGGTTTTAAGGGTTAAGAATAAATCATCCCTGTTATCTCTAATTAAAGAGGTTACAACTCTCCTTCATCCATAGGGCAAAACTGCTTTTCTATGAGGATACGGAAACTTTAAATGCCATTGCTTCAACAACACTGCCGTGAACTAAGAATCAGACTTATTAATTCAAATGTTCATTTGGTACATTCGTGAGAATAGAAGCTACCAAATATTAAAATAATCAAAGAACTACATTGCCTTAGATTTTAAAAACTCTCCATAAAGGAAAAGTCCCCAAATATAAATGTGAAGGATCATCTTTCTATTACTCTGCTCTCTTCTTGTAGTATCCTCAGTCAATGCAAGGACAGGGGCCATCTACTTAAAGACCCATCAAACAAAACTTGGTTCTTTACTAAATAATCCACAAAGGTTAAAATGTTCCAACTTAACTCTACAAGGGAAATGAAAACCAAAGGACTGAGCATACTGTACAACGAATACCCTAATAATTAAATGAAACGATGTAGATACAAGCACGTGGCATATAATGAGCACTAAAAAGAAAGTCCATTCTTCACAGGGTATCTACCATCTTCTTTACAGAGGATGATCTTACATAAATATGGATCAGCTCATTGGGAAATATGAATTAGCAGGAAATAAAATGACTGAGATTTCCAAACTTCTAATATAAAGCAAGTTCAGCTAAAAGATGAACAAGAGAAGTCTTGCCTGATGTGCATATACTTGTATAAAAAATTTGCCTAAATTTTTTTAAGTCCAAGTATTGACCCCCACCATTATTTCACATTAAGTCAGGGACATTTTCAACAATGTACTAGAAGACATCACCATAGAACATAAAACATCTAAGGGAAAAAATGTCTTTCAACCATAGTACCTCTGAATAACACTAATATTACCACCTTAATTACCTGGTTTCAGGAGACGAAGAGATTTCATTTGTGTCTGCCCTTTTACTTCTTGGAAATGATGGACTAGCTGGAGGCATTTCACCACTTAAACGATCTGGGAAAATCCGGTCTTTATTCAAATTGATTTCTGAATAGGGACAGTTGGCAGCACTAAAACATTACAAATCAAGAAAAGAAAGAAGATTCCTATTAGACCATAATTACTTCTTCCAATTAAGATGACGAACTACAAAACGTAAAATGCAAAAATTTAACTGAATATATATTTACATAGACTAAACACACAGCATAAAATATTTTACCTTTAAAACATAATTAAAGTATATTCTGATAGAAAATATGTCTTTGCCCTAAATTTTTAAATACAATCTCCTGCAATCTCTGGAAGTGAGTAATGGTCAACAAAGGATTCCCTCTTGTGTGGTCCAAGGGCAGGGCCTGTGTGTAACTCTGGGAAAAATCAGCCCAAGAGAGAAATGCGTAACACGGGAGGGTTGGTGACAGAGGTGGGATAGAGAGAAGATGATGGGAGACAGGGCAGACCTGCTTCCTAAAGTGACCTCCAGGCCCTGGGCCATCACTGTTTAATTTCCCTTGTAACAGCTGCTGCCCTCTAAAGGAAGGAGGTTCCCCCATTTCCTGTCTGCAGGCCCACATGCATTCCTGATTGCCCAGAAAAAAAACATCATCCTGTAGGGAATCCTGTTCCTGATATGAAAAAGGACAAGAAGGCAACTTGGATAATGACCCATCTAGCTCCCTTCCCTTCACTGGCGACCACTGGGTTGGTCTCTCAGATTCCACCTGGGGATCACTCCCATCACCCAAGCAAAGGGAATCTGAGTCACTAAGTGTTCACTCAGTACGCGGTCAGCACACCCCTGTGCCTGGGCCTCAACCTTCTGACTCCAGGACAACTGGCAGCTTCTGTATCTTCATACAGAACCAACCACTCCAACCAACTCCCTACCTCGGCCCGAGGTTTTTAGAAAACCTCCTGAAATCTGGAAATGATGTGGAGTCAGGGAAATTATATTAGTGTCCTACATATTCTTTTCCTCAGATTAGGTAATATTTGGGGAAAATTTTTAAACACTGCCTTTCTGCCCTCTACCAAGAGATTCTGACACATCCTCCTGGGAGGAGAGAAGAGTGTACAAAGACTCCCAAAGTAATTCTGGTAATGGTCTACAAAATTTATCACAGATAACTTGTAAGCAAAAGGACATCTTTATTATCTTTACTTACACGTTACTTTATACTGCTATGTCTTATAATAAACATGGTTAAAACCAAACTCATCTTTAATGAACTCCCTTCCCCTGAAAACAAAAAAAGCTGAAAAACACAACTATCTCTTCTTGCTTTTGATTTTTTCTTTCTGATAAAGGAAATACACTAACCAACTCTCAGATCACAGACAAGTTTGAGTTTATTCTTTCTTCCTCATATTGTCTATGTACCCTATTGCAAATTATCTACTTGGTGGCTCAGATGGTAAAGGATTTGCCTGCCATGCAGGAGACCTGGGTTCAATCCCTGGGTTGGGAAGATCCCTGGAGAAGTAAATGGCTGCCCATGCCAGTATTCTTGCTTGGAGAATCTCATGGACAGAGGAGCCTGATGGGCTTCAGTCCATGGGTTGCAAAGAATTGAACACAATTGAGTGACTATCACTCGGGGAAAAAGTGGCAGGAAAAAAATACAAATATAAATTTTTTTGATTATTTCTTTTGAGACATCATATGTTGCTCTTCCTAGAATATCACAACCATCAAATGTTTGACTCACTGTTAAACACCTGGCTTTACAATTACTTTATGACTGTCTGTATGTTCATTTTGAAATTCATCAGATATGAAGAAAGAAAAGAAAATGAGGGTGCTGATTTTAACCCCACTCTAACACATGGAAGATTCCCAGATTTTTAGATGGGCTGGCTCCCCACCTACACACTACAGTGAATAGTTGTAGTTTAGAAGGTTTACAAGCCCCCCAAGGGCAGCCCTTTCCTGTTTGTTGATTAAGTGAAGGAACAGGATGCCTCTCTAGACCACCATATGTAAACGTGGGTAGCTCAGAGAGGCAAGACTGCATTATGAGACTTGGCACCTAAATATAACCCTTACCTAGGTTGCTAGGGCCAGAGGGAAATTTCAAACTCTCATTTCGAAGCAGGGAAACAATCACAGCCTTCCGAGCAAAGATATACTACTGGGCCAGGATGATCAACCAACACAATCTTGTGCTGATTGGCTATACATATTGTGCTAAGCCTTCTCTTCTTCTGAACCCTGAGAAAAATCAAATGGGTTTAAACATCCCCAGTTCTCACAACTACTCTGGGACAGAAAGGGAAGCCAGCTGGTTCCCATGGTGGGAGGTGATTTAAAAAAAACAACAAAGGCACAGCATGCAAATGAAGTGTGCACAGAGGGATGGGCAACGCCGCAGATGGAAACCAAGAACCTGGCTCTAAATGTGTTCCGCAGCTCTGTCCACAAGGAGCAAACACAACTTGGAAGACTTTGTTTTACAGACACTTGTAAAATGAAGAGAATGACAACAAACATTACACAGATGGAGTGTTACCCAGGGTACGTTGCTTTACTTGCATGATGTCATCTAACTCCCACAAACCTGGAAAATCATTCCTATTCTCATGCTTATTTTATAGATGCAGAGACTGAGGCTTTAAAAAAGGGAACTTGCTTAGTATCATCCCATTAGCGTATGAACTCCAGCTGTCTCCTACAGGAGCAAAAAGTACCTTGCAATACTGAATTATTTCTTTATCCCTAATCCATGGCAATTAAACCTGAGAGTACCACCTCTCAGCAAGATGATGCTGCCATATAGCTATAACCTGTGTGTGAATGCTCAGTCATGCCAACTCTTTGCGACTTCACGGACTGCAGCCCACCAGGCTCCTCTGTCCATGGGATTTTCCAGGCAAGAATACTGGAATGGGTTGCCATTTCCTCCTCCAGGGGATCCTCCAGACCCGGGGATCGAACCTGCATCTCTTGCATCTCTTGCAACGGCAGGCAGATTCTTTATTACTGCGCCACCAAGGAAGCTCAGAAAGGTTAAATATGAACTGAGGCAGTACTTAACCTTTCTGGGCCAATTTCCTCATTTTTAAGTTTATAAAATTCATATGCAGTTTTAATGACTTTATAAACACAGAAGTGCTGATTAAACTTCTCTGGGAAAAGTGGGTTTCACTGGGTTTATAATCTTTTCATTTTTCTCGTCTATTAAGTTTCTAATAACAAAACAGAAGTAAGACTGGGCCCATGGCACAACAGGCACGCTTAGAAACGGTCATTGGCACATGCAATTATACATGTACACATAACTCTGCTGTTACACAGCTCCCCAGACCTCAGGGGAACAGACTCACACAGGATTGCACAGCTCTTTACTATGGGGACTTTATTAGGGTGCACCCTGTTCTGTTAGCAAATCATTCCATACCTGCTATATACATATATATAAATTCTTGTCCCACTGGCCCCTGTAAGGAGGCAGTTTTTCCTTGGAAAGACTGTCCAGTGTATTAGGAAAGGCGGAAAAATGGCTTTGTTCACTGCCTCCCACTGCCACTTTTACAACCTTTTTAGTTGTAAATACATTTATTTAAACAACTGGACGATGTCTTCCATTTCCTAAGTGCTCACATGCTCATTCTCACTCTGTCAAGACAGGAATCTATAAAACACAAGTTCTATCCAGCTACTGTGGTTTGCATGAGACTCTAGCGGTTAAGAGTAGGGGCTTTAGTGCCTTAAGAGCCTAGGCTGAATCCTGGGTCTGCCACTCTCTGATCTTGGGTACTTTTCTCAAGCATTCTAAATCTCTGTTCCCACTTCTGTGAAACAGAGATTAGAGCAGTGCCAGCTTTATAAAGCTGCTGAGAGAATAAAATGAGATAACAGATCTAAGTCCTAAAACAGAGCCTGGCACCTAGGAAGTCACACACAAAAAAAGCCAGCCTAGGATTATTATTTTAAAAGGAGAAGAGGAACACTTAACCCCTACTGGGTAAAAGGCCATCAGCAAAAATAAACAACAGCATTAAAAACTCTGTAACATGCCTTGCTTATGGAGGCATCACTGCTTCCCTCAGGAAAAGGTGATGATTCTGAGCGCTACTCATTCATGCGTCTCCAAATCCCTGTTTATACCATGCTGGCCTCCTTAGAAGTGAGGCCTTCTCCTCTGTACAGCCCATCACCTAGCCCAGTATCTGCACACAGCAGGCACTCAATAAATGTTTGCTCCATGAGTGGACTGAATCTTGAATTAAAATGATGACTGTGGTTTGCAGGTGTTTTTAATTTTTAAAAACAGAGTTATTAATTTTTAAAAACTCTCCATGGACTTTATAAATATCCTTTAGAGGTTGTAGGAGGTACTCTCTCTTTCTTTCTTTTCCTGTTTAATTTTACTGAGATAAGATCTTACATAGGGAAGATTTACTTCACTTTTGAAGACATCAGATATGCAAAATATTCCATTTTATATAACTTTAGTTCTCCTTTAATCTCTTGTCATTATGACCTCTCAGTAAGCCAAATGAGTGAGTCAGGGAAGGGATACACCATGACACAACCAATACTAATACTGCCTTGCTAGAGACAGAGTTGTCATCTGACTGCTGAGCATCTCTAGAAACGGGAACACCATATCCACATCCAACTCGCTCACTGATCATTTATATCTTCACATTTAAAAAGAGCACATTCTTAAATTTCATTGTTGAGAACACATTTCTAACACTTCTTAGATCAAATTCAACTATTGTAATTTTTGAAGATGCTAACAACACATCCTAGTCAAAACATAGGCTTGTGCTTACATGTTCATAAAATTGATAATTCTTGCCAAAAGAGCAACTTTCTTTGTTATCTAAGCAAAGAATGCATGTTTTGATTTATGCAGTTTCTCACATTAATCCGAAGAGAATTTTCTCATTACATTTTCCTAAACACAGCATTCTTGGCAAGGACAAAAATAAGCGCCAGTCCTGTCAAAGAACATTCGTGATGCAGCAGCTCTTCCACAAGTCTAGTAAGGAAATGGTAAACACACTGTGGCTACTAAGGGTTAATGTTCCTCCAGATAAAGAGCATTAAGCTCTATGAAGAGAACAGCATGTTCAGGAAGACCAAGAAAAACCCGCAGAGTGGGCTGAGAAAATGCGAAGCCACAACACAGGCAGGAGTTGACACTGTCCGCTGGTCCTCTGGACTGCATTCCTGCCCCAAACTATGCGCAGATCTGCCAGCCACGTCTGATAGGTGACAAGGAAATGAACACTTCTGTGGCATGTCGTGTAAGCCGTGATGTCTACTTCCTCCTTCATTCCCCCAAACAATACGTCATTCTCCACTATGGCTTCAATTATACGGAAAGATTTTTTTTTTTTAACCACATTTCTCCATAACATCTTATATGATTCTCCTCATAATTTTTCCCTTCACTTAGCAAATAGAACACTGCATCTTGGAAAAAACACTGCAGAGGTGATCACTGAAACTTTGTGCAATGGGGGTGGACCACCTCTGAGGTCCACAACTCATCTGGGGAAAGGTGGTCTTAATGAGTGGCTGGTGCCATCAAGCAGTAGACAGACTCCTGGCACAGACCTTGCTGTGACAGCCAAGCCTCTCTGCTCAGACCTTCAGCACTGCTAAAGAGATTACAGACATTGCTGTAATATAGGTGGATTTTCTTCCTGAAGACCAGAAAGAAAAATTCTTTGTAAATTTTTTATTGTACCACACAACATAATGTCCGTATTCACCCATTTTTAAGATTTCTTTGATCTTTTCCTTCATAATCTGAGCAAACTGCCTTTGGTTCAGTGAACACCTTAGGGTTGTAAAGCAGAAAGGTACACGTGTCAAAGTTTCAATATTAGTTATCACTTTGTATCTCATATTTCAATTAAATTGAGTTTTTATCGTTTCATTAGTCCCTGAGTTCTTTGAAGGCTAGATCTGTGACTTATTCGGAAAGCCATGCCTGATTCTCAGACAGGGGAGTGGTCAGGGGCACAGTTAGACTAGGTGCTATTCCTGGCTCCCTCCTCACCCACTGTCAATCAAGCAGGTTAGAGACACCCCTAGTGTCAGGGAGGCTTCACCAAAAAAATGAAGAAAGTCATAGTCCAGTATTATAGGGTCACCAGAAGGTTATCCAATACATGCTACTAGGGAAAAAAACCTGCTGCTCAAAAATATTTACTGAATGAAAGAATTTACAGACATATAAAGAAGTCTGGCATACTAATGAGTTATTTGGATTTATATACCACAGTCACTCCTTATCCGTGGTTTTGCTTTCTATGATTTCACTTATCTGAGGTCAATCTAAGTATGAAAATGCAAATGAAAAATCCCAGAAATAAACAATAAATTTTAAACCGTGCACCATCCTGAGCAGCATGATGAAATCTCACGGTGTCCCACTCTGGCCCTGTGAGGAGAAAATCACCCCTCAGTCCAGTGCATCCAGCCCGTTAGTGACCTAGCAGCCTCCTTCGTTACCAGATCCACCGGCAAGGTATCACAGTGCTTGTGTTAAGTCATCCTTGATGTACCAATAATGGCCCCAAAGCACAACAGCAGTGATGCTGGCACTTCAGGTACACCAAAGAGAATCCATAAAGTGCTTCCTTTGGTGAACAGGTGACAACTCTCAACTTCATGGGGAAACAATCTCTACAGTAAAAATAAATCTTCTATCTGTCAAATTGTGAGGAAAAAGAAATTTGTCCTAGTACTCCTATCGTACCTCAAACTGCAAAACTGAGGACCACAGTGTGTAACAGATGCATAGTTAAAATGGAAAACGCATTCAATGGGTACAGTACGACTTTAGAGAGACAACGTTCACATAACTTGTATTACAGTACATTATTTATAACTGCTCTACTTTAATATTATTGTTGCCAATCTCTTACTGTACTTGATTTATAAGTCAAACTTTATCATAGGTATGCATGAATAGGAAAAAACATAATACATATAGGGTTCAGTACTATGCCAGGTTTCAGGCATCCACTGGGGATCTTGGAACATGCCCACCCAGGGATGGGGAGGGTAATGCCTGAAAGTAATCCAGGTGCCTTCACTGGCCAATACTGAATCACTCCTAGGATACAGTATTTTTATCTCCCCTTAATCATACTGCTTTTGGCTTGGAGTCATACAAGCCACGAAAAGGATTTTTAAATGGATATTTGCAAATGGAATCATGATCCTGTCTACATGCAGATTTTTACTCTGGAACATACTGAATCCCATAAAACAAACTTGGCAGTAGTGTTGCAAAAGGCTTTGAGGTTACAGAAATTTAAGGAAGAAGAAAACTATATGAAGATAAAACAGCCATGTCAATTTTACAATTCCTATTAATTCTTAGAGAAACAGGCAGGGCAATCTTCAGATGTTTTAAGGACCAAGATTCACAACCTGTATAAACTAGATAAACAAGGAATCATTTTTCTTACTGGGCAATCCAATTAACATGCAGTTAGGACACTTTACACTGACAAATTATTATTTTAATATATATCAGAATAGGTGATGCCTCTTTTCTCTAAAAATCCCAGTTAAAATCACAGAAATTCTTGCTATTCCAGCAGTATTTGAATATGTCTAAAAATAACCCAAATCACCCAAGTAACACACCAAATTTCAAATGTATAATTTTGGTTTCTCTTTAAGTTACTTAGAAGTAAGAAAAATATTGAAAACCACTTAACTTTGACCAATGTATTCTGAAATGTGTCTATTTATATTTGTGCTTTTTGTGATCTTTGATGCTAATCTACAATAATCTCACCTCTCACTATTCAAATTGTTGAGTCACCCAATCAGAATATTTTACCAAACAAATACTTTGAACAAGTTCTGCCCTCTTCTCACTATTAATGGTCAACCCCAAATGACTTTAAGATGTAAAGTATCTATAAAACTAGTCAGGTTGCCAAGAAGCTACTGTAAATCTATTTTAAATCATAAATGCATTCTCTCCCAGGAATATTTAACTACACATACACTCTTCATTTTTACATGGTCACCATGACAACCACAGTTCCTATGGATCTGAATGCAGAATTGGTTCATATCTATTAAGTGTACGTGGAAACCATTATCGCCCACCTAACAAGGGACAGGCACCTCTGTCCGACCACAGGAGGACTCTCCAAGTGAGTGGAAGCACCAAATACCTGTGAGGGCCCAGGTGTCTCGCTCTCTTAAAATGGCCAATCCCTCTGCATCCTGGGGTTGTGCAGCCTCCGTGTTCTGAGGCTTCCATCAGTTCTAAGGGGCCTATTACAAAGCCAAAGAAAAAAGCAAAAAGTTAAGGCTGTGATAGGCAAATGCCTTGGAGCAGAATGAGAAAAACAACAACAACAACAATTTTTCAATCAATACTTACACACAGAAAAGGAAGGCCCTACAAAATTAAAACTGTTTAAAGGCTCTACTTCTGAAGGTTTTACCTAGCACTTTGTTCACACTGTCTTTAATAGTGAAATGGTAAACTTTGATCCAACCCTCTTTCAAAATGTCACAAATTCCAGAGATACCTAAATCTGAAATAATGAGATGATTCTAAACAGCTTGATCAAGTAAATAACATAATTAATATATGCACACTCGCACGCTGTGAAAACTTCAAACGACACACCAGGATACAGAAGAACAGCTACAGATCCCCTTTAAGTGACTCTCTTTACATTTCATACCCTCCTTAGTCCTGACTAACCATGTTAACATGACCTTCCTAGATGTTCTAAGCGTTCCCAAATGTACCTACGTTTGCATATGTACATGTATCAAATCTTTGGTTTACTTCGGCCACATAAATTAGGGACAACATGGGTATATACTATTCTGAAGCAGTCTTCTTTGGTCTTTAGCTTCAACTGAACAGTAATATTTTTATGATTTGCACAGTAGTTGTACTATAAGTGCACCAAAATTTATTTAAGCAATATGTGTTCCCAAGGTTTATTATTTTAAACATACTGTGACCAATATCATGCAGTGCATTCTGGTGGCCTTTTGAAGTTTCTAGGTGACATCCAGGAATGAAGCCACTAGTTGGGGAGGGCATGCTAAATTTTTGAGAAAGCCCACAATAATGTATTGTATTGCCACATTTTTCTTTTTACAATGTATTTACTTTCCTCCACAACTGAAATCCAATATGTTAAGCTCAAGGCTTCCCCGGTGGCTTAGCGGTAAAGAATCCGCCTGCAATGCAGGAGCTGAAGGAGACACGGGTTCAATCCCTGGGTGGGGAAGATTCCCTCGAGGAGGGCATGGCAACCCACTCTAGTACTCTTGCCTGGAGGATCCCATGGACAGAGCAGCCTGGTGGGCTACAGTCCATGGGGTCGCACAGAGTCAGACATGACTGAAGTGACAGCACACACATGTTAAGTTCTTGGCATACCTTTTTCAAAAAATTGAATTTAACTAAAATTTTTATTGAGGTGATGGTAGATTCACATGCAATTGTAAGTAAACACAGAGGGAGATCCCTTGTATACTTTGCCCAGTTTCTCCTGATGGTACTCCTTTGCAAAACTGTTGTATCAAGTCACTATTAGGATATCAACATTGATACATTAAAATTTTGATAGTCTGACAAATTGTCTACCAAAATTTAGTACTAGTTTTATAAGATGATGAAGACTGCTAAATAAAAGAAAAGTCTAGGCACACACTACTTTTTCAGATATTAAATTTTTTCTTTTATGTACTTTTGACTAAAAGTTAATTAAAAGGTTAACTAAAAATACAGTAAGAGGAAAAACAACTACATAGAGAAAAAATGTACAGTACAGAAGTAGAATGAGATGGAAAAGAGAATATTAAGCACACTATGCAATAGTGGAAACATTTAAGTAATCCTGATGTATCTTACTCAAAGGAGGTTGAAGAGGATGCCCAGTTTTTGAACACCAACCAACAGGGTGAATATCAGGAGAATCTGCATCTATCCAGTAATCATAGCAACTATTCCAGCCATCAAAGTGAACCTGGATAACAAAAAGAGATCAACAGTTTAATTCAGGTCACAAAAATCCTTACAGTAAAAACTCTGCCAATGGTAACCATCTTCATTCTAACTTATAAATAGTACACTGAATATACATATAAAGTAAACACAATAGATGTCAGATGGATAAAAATTCAAATAATGAAAACTGAACAATAAAAGTTCTAGAAGAAAGTATTTATCTTAAGAGTTCAGTAGCCTTCGTAAGTAAGATGCCAAACTCAAAAGCCATAAATGAAAGATGTATCAACTTGACTACATCAAAGTTCAAATCTTCACAATGGCAAATACTACTGCTAGCAAGATGAAAAACCCAAAAGAAACCTGAAAAACATATTTGTTAACATATGACAATGTACTTTGTTCCTCAATTCATAAAAAAATCATGTATCAGTATAAAAAGATGAAAAACCTAACAGAAAAGGTGGAAAAGTAACAAGCAGGTCATTAACAGAAAAATAAAAATAAATGGTAAACATACAAAAAGACAACTTCACTTATAACTAAAAAGCTACAAATTAAAATCACAAGATGCAATTCTTTTCCTTTCGATCTGCCAGAATGTTCCATTTTGGTGACTCCTAGAGCTAGTGAACATGAGATTAATGGACGCTCTCATAGACCACTGACAGGAGTCTTGACTGGTGAGATATTTCTGGAGAGGTATTTGGCAACAATGATTAACACTTAAACATATCATCTTTGACTTGATAATCTAAATAACTCAATTCATTGTTGTGCCAGAAAAAAACCAGAATGCCTACCATCCACGAGACTGGTTATATAACTTATGGTATATTTATGTAATGAAGAAGTACAGAGTTAATAAAGCATGTATATATGGGTTCAAAATAATGTCCTTTGCAATGAATCTGCTTTCTCAAGCTTAGAAATCAATTAATCCTAGAATTAAATCCCACAGAACTCCACATCTGGAGGAAATCATGGATAAAATTTTAAAATGGAGAAAAAAATCACAAAGTCAGTCAGGAAGAGTAACCAGCTTAAGATTCATAGATCCAAAATAAACTTGTTCAGTCCACATACATTGCATATAAAAGCAACACTTAAAGCTGTTTAACTTGAAACAACCCTTTTCCTTCCTCTGATCAAAAGTAATGTTCAAATAACACTGAAAATTAAGAACATCAGCTTATGCTGTCAATGCTGCTGCTGCTAAGTCGCTTCAGTTGTGTCCGACTCTGTGCGACCCCATAGACGGCAGCCCACCAGGCTCCCCGTCCCTGGGATTCTCCAGGCAAGAACACTGGAGTGGGTTGCCATTGCCTTCTCCATATGCTGTCAATACTACCAATAAATAAGAACTTATACATAATCCACAGCACTAAAGTAAGTTTTAAGCATTCTAATCCTCAACTAATCATCAAGTGATAGTGCTCTATTTTACTAGATAAATGAAAAACTCTTGTTTTCTGAAATTTCTATCCCCAAATTTCATGTCTTCTACACTGCAAACAATGTTCATTCATGTAACTCATGTGACATTTGTTAAATCTTACAAAATTTAGCTATCTTCCTATAGCAAACAAACTCAATCCTAATAAGTAAATGGTTCTCCAACCTGGATACACACTAGAATTACTTGTGATAATTGAAAATAAGAAGAAAAAAAAACCTGGCTGAGCCCAACAAGAAGGTTCTGAACTTAGACGTAAAACTTGGTATAACTTATAGATGTAACTTCTGTGTACCTAACATGTCATTTACTTAACTTCTAAGTAATTCTACTGTGTACTGAGAATTTCCAACGATACTGAAAAGGACACTATTGTACTGCAATTAGACTCCAAAAATCTTGGTATCATCATAAATAAAAGGGTTCTTTTAATAATTTCCTCTCAAATACCTTTAAGAATATGTTGAAGATAATATATCTAATGATACCATAAACCCCTTCCTAGTTTTCATTAAAACTGATATCCCAGTTTGGCAATGAAAAGTCGTCTATCAAAGATGACAGATATATTGCCAATATATGACAATATGCAACAAAAAGAAGACAATACTTTAGTTGCTGTGAATAAGCTGAAACTCTTCTACAAACTAGGCTGGCTAAAACTGATATCTCAGTTTGGGAATGAAAAGTCATCTACCAAAGATGACAGATATATTGACAATATATGACAGTATGCAACAAAAAGAAGATAAAATTTTAGTTACTATAAATAAGCTGAATCTCTTCTACAAACTAGGCTGGCTGGCAACTGGGAGAATTTTAGCAGTTTAAGGTTAAATTTCAGAGTTAAAATTTAATTTAAATATTATGAACACAAGAGCAATACAATTATCTGATAAGGAGCAAATACACTTAAAAACTGCTATTTAATCACTTATATGTGGAATCTAAAACATCATACAAGTGAATGTACATGCAAAACAGAAACATTCACAGATACAGAGAGCAAACTAGTGGTTATCAAAGGGGAGAGACAGAGGAAAAAGAACCAATTAGCAGTGCGGGATTAACAGATAAGAACTACTGTGTATAAAACAGATCAGCAGTCAGGATGGCTGCTATCCAAAAGTCTACAAGCAATAAATGCTGGAGAGGGTGTGGAGAAAAGGGAACCCTCTTACACTGTTGGTGGGAATGCAAATTAGTACAGCCACTATGGAAAACAGTGTGGAGATTTCTTAAAAAGCTGGAAATAGAATTGCCATATGACCCAGCAATCCCACTTCTGGGCATACACACCGAGGAAACCAGATCTGAAAGAGACACGTGCACCCCAATGTTCATCGCAGCACTGTTTATAATAGCCAGGACATGGAAGCAACCTAGATGCCCATCAGCAGACGAATGGATGAGGAAGCTGTGGTACATATACACCATGGAATATTACTCAGCCATTAAAAAGAATTCATTTGAATCAGTTCTAATGAGATGGATGAAACTGGAGCCCATTATACAGAGCGAAGTAAGCCAGAAAGATAAAGACCATTACAGTATACTAACACATATATATGGAATTTAGAAAGATGGTAACGATAACCCTATGTGCAAAACAGAAAAAGAGACTCCTATGTATAGAACAGACTTGTGGACTCTGGGAGAAGGCGAGGGTGGGATGTTTCAAGAGAACAGCATCGAAACACGTATATTATCTAGGGTGAAACAGATCACCAGCCCAGGTTGGATGCATGAGACAAGTGCTCGGGCCTGGTGCACTGGGAAGACCCAGAGGGATTGGGTGGAGAGGGAGGTGGGAGGGGGGACCGGGATGGGGAATACATGTAAATCCATGGCTAATTCATTTCAATGTATGACAAAAACCACTACAATGATGTAAAGTAATTAGCCTCCAACTAATAAAAATAAATAAAAAAAATAAAATAAAATAAAACAGATCAGCAACAAGGATATACTGCACAGCAAAGGGAATTATAGCCATTATGTTGTAACAACTTTTAATAGAGTATAACCTGCAAAGATACTGAATCACACTGTAGATCTGAAACTAATAAACTATTATAGGTCAAGTAAACTTTAACTAAAAACTGCTGTCAGAAATATGTGTGCGTTAGTTGCTCATTGTGTCTGACTCTTGAGACCCCGTGGGCTGTAGCCTGCCAGGCTCCTCTGTCCATGGGATTCTCCAGGCAAGAATACTGGCATGGGTTGCCATTCCCTTCTCCAGGGGCTCTTCTCAACCCAGGGATTGAACCTGGGTCTTCTGCACTGCAGGCAGATTCTTTACCAGCTTAGCCACCAACACTTCAATTAAAGATTGCTATCAGAAGTTATGCAAACATAATATATAAAAAAAAAATTAAACCTAATTAATACTCTTACTATGGAAGCCCAGATGAAATAAATTTATTATAGTTTGTACAGTTTCATTTCATCTTTACTACTTGAGTCACTAGCACATTAAGAGGTTTTCATGAACAAAAAAAAAATCAGACTTTCTTGTAATGCTAAGTGATAGTTGTTCTCTTGCTGGGTCCTATTTTGAAATGAAATAAAATTACCTAACAAAGAGTAAGACAAAGATACATAAATATATAACACAAAATATTTAAGCACTGTACAAAACACAAATGAAAGTGAAAATCGCTCAGTCATGTCCAACTCTGCGACCCCAGGGACTACACAGTCCATGAATTCTCCAGGCCAGGATACTGGAGTGGGTAGCCTTTCCCTTCTCCAGGGGATCTTCCCAACCCAGGGACTGAGCCCAGGTCTCCCGTACTGCAGGCAGATTCTTTACCAGCTGAGCCACAAGGGAAGTCTAAGAGACATCCAAAAATATTTAACAGAAATGTTCCACTCTAAAGACAATTAACATAAAAGCAACTCAGCAATGAGGCTGAATGAAAATTCTAAAGAAAATAGACTGCTGCTGCTGCTGCTAAGTCACTTCAGTTGTGTCTGACTCTGTGCGACCTCATAGACGGCAGCCCACCAGGCTCTGCTGTCCCTGGGATTCTCCAGGCAAGAACACTGGAGTGGGCTGCCATTTCCTTCTCCAATGCATGAAAGTGAAAAGTGAAAGTGAAGTCACTTAGTCATGTCCAACTCTTAGCGACCCCATGGACTGCAGCCTACCAGGCTCCTCTGTCCATGGGATTTTCCAGGCAAGAGTACTGGAGTGGGGTGCCATTGCCTTCTCCAAGAAAATATACTACTAGATACCAAAGCATAGTATAGATAATTTAACATATCTTAAATCACAGTTTAGGAAATTAGATATATTTTTTACCTGGAAGTATAATTTGGACCCTTTTTAAAAACTTAATATTCATTATTGACAATTTCAAGATTAAGACAGATAATAGTTTTTAAGAGCACACTATTTCATTAAAAAAAAAAAAAAAAACTTATTTGGTTGGATTTTCTGTTCAGGTGAAAGGCAACTCAATAAATCACATTTTAGACCCAGGTGCTTACTTCCATTCTCTTCTGAAGTGAGTTGCATTTGACAACGTATAAACCCAGAAGGACAAACGGAGAAGGGAAGCAGCTGACAGGCATGGCAATGATGAGGCCGAGGGCACAGCGGGTGAGGGAGAGCTGACCCCCTGGAAGAGAGGGGGTGGGCTGCAACCCAGCCACCGAGAGGTGGGGGAGCAGGGCCAGGGCGAGCGGGCTCAGCGTGCAGAACCCAGAAGGACTCGGTGTGGAGGCAGCAAGTATGTCAGGAGGTCTGGAAAAGGACAGGACTGGCTTGAAGTCTGAATATGGAGATTTATGCAAGATCATGGGGGAAAACCCTCATATGAAAGTATGTTATCACAAAACATCAGAATATTAGGGACAAAGATAATCTTGAGAATTTCCAGAGAGAAACTGTCAGAGAGAAGGAACCCAATGGCCTTGGATGTCTCAAAAATCAACATCCCATAAGAAAACACTGAACTTAATTAAAAAAATATATACATACTATTGGAAAATGAAGTATTATATCACCTTCTGAACAGAAGATTACCTTATACACTATATCTATGTTTTCTTCCACATACATACTTAAAATATTAAAAGTCAGTCATAAATAAGGAGAAAACTTATTTAGATTAAACTAAGAAAAGTAGAAAAATACTTACTTACAAAGATATAGAATCACTTAATTTCCATATTTCTATGGTTTTACTAATTTTAGGACTTCACAAATTAAATGTCTGCTGAAGTTTTCATCCAAGACGTTTTATTAAAAAAAAAAAAAGAAAGAAAAACAAAACCACAACAGAGAATACTTACTTTTATTCGGTGATCATCTGTGTCTGCAACTGTTGCTACTCTAATAAACACGGGATTTCTTTTGTCTATGACCTCAAGCTTCATTTTTTTCTGGAATCCGTGTGGCGGCTTCTGCCGTGATAGAAAATTTTTTATAGTGAGATGCAGAGGAAGGGAAGGTGAGCTCTATGTCACAAAGCTAGAATTTTTTTTTTTAATTGAACTATTGTAAGAGAACCAGTCTCTCAAACTCAAGTTCCTCAGAATGGCTTTGGACTTCATTCTCCTTACCAAAACAAAAAAAATCCCAAATCACACAGCCAAGCCTGCAGGCTATAGAAAGATCCTGAGCAACTAGCCACAGGAGCCAACAGGAAGCCAAAGATCTTAAGCTGAAACTCAGAATACTGTGGTTTTTTTGATTAGTCACAGGGAAGACAAGAATTTTTTCTCATTACTTGGAGCTAGCTGTCTCGGCAAAAGTCAACAAACATGAAAGTTATTTTTAAAAGAGAGGGAAGAACATTCAAGTTGTAGAGAGGAGACACAGAAATTCAGTCAGTTCAGTTCAGTCGCTCAATCGTGTCTGATTCTTTGCGACCCCATGAATCGCAGCAGGCCAGGCCTAGAAATTAGCGTGACACAAAAAAGTAACAGAAGTCTTTCTAAGAAGAAAATTAGCAATCAACACACACAAGGTGGAACTGCTCTACTAAGAACAGGAATGGGGCTACCTATATCTCAAAACTCAGCAGAGCCCCACAGGCCTCTGAAAAATTTACGGGCAGAAGGAAAGGTGATGGCTAACAGGTGTTCTAAAAGTGTTGCTGTGAAAATCAAGCATGAAAATTATGCAAAGGATGCAGAACAATTAATGCAAGGCACCTAAAGGCCAAGATAGAGGAATAATGATTTTCTCTCTGATATCACTGTGATACTAGATATGCAGACTGAGTTTAACATGATTTTATCCACTTCAAAGCAAAATTGCAAAGCAGCTCTTTTCTGTATGAGGCTAAGTTAGAGGGTCAGATAAAAATCCATAAAATTTCATGTCTCTAAACATTACTTATGTATAATCCTGAATTTATGGCTTTTCTTCATGTAACAATTTTTCTCTCAAAAATTTTGGTGTTCTTTTCTGATGTATTTGAATCCATACCCATCAATTAATTTTATCATTAAAAATCCTATAAATTTATACACAAAAGGATCTATTAAAAACATTGCTTATAATACTGTCACTCTTTTAAAATACAAATTATAAAGCACGTTGAATAGTCACACAAGTCCAAGAAACCCAGAGAGTCCCAAACAGGATAAACCCAAGGTGAAACACCCCAAGACACATACTAATCAAATTAACAAAGATCAAACATAAAGAACAAATATTAAAAGCAGCAAGGGAGAAACAACATATAACACACAAGGGGATTCCTATAAGGATAACAGCTGATCTTTCAATAGAAACTCTTCAGGCCAGAAGGGGATGGCAGGACATACTTAAAGTAATGAAAGAGAATAACCTACAACCCAGATTATTGTACCCAGCAAGGATCTCATTCAGATATGAAGGAGAATGCAAAGGCTATACAGACAAGCAAAAGCTGAGAGAATTCAGCACCACCAACCCAGCTCTTCAACAAATGCTAAAGGATCTTCTCTAGACAGGAAACACAGAAAGGGTGTATGAACGCGAACCTGAAACAACAAAGCAAATGGCAACAGGACCATACCTATCAATAATTACCTTAAATGTAAATGGGTTGAAGCCCCAATCAAAAGACAAAGACTGGCTGAATGGATACACAAGCAAGACCCCTATATATGCTGTCTACAAGAGACCCACCTCAAAACAAGGGATACATACAAACTAAAAGTGAAGGGCTGGAAAAAAATATCTCATGCAAACGGAGACCAAAAGAAAAGCAGGAGTCACAATACTCATATCAGATAAAACAGACTTTAAAATAAAGGCGGTGAAAAGAGACAAAGAAGGACACTACATAATGATCAAAGGATCAATCCAAGAAGAAGATATAACAATTATAAATATATATGCACCCAACATAGGAGCACCGCAATATGTAAGACAAATGCTAACGAGTATGAAAGGGGAAATTAATAGTAACACAATAATAGTGGGAGACTTTAATACCCCAGTCACAACTATGGATAGATCAACTAAACAGAAAATTAACAAGGAAACACAAACTTTAAATGACACAATGGACCAGCTAGACCTAACTGATATCTATAGGACATTTCACCCCAAAACAATCAACTTCACCTTTTTCTCAAGTGCACAAGGAACCTTCTCCACAATAGATCACATCTTGGGCCATAAATCTAGCCTTGGTAAATTCAAAAAAATTGAAATCATTCCAGTCATCTTTTCTGACAACAGTGCAGTAAGATTAGATCTCAATTACAGGAAAAAAAAATATTAAAAATTCCAACATATGGAGGTCTAATAACATGCTTCTGAATAACCAACAAATCATAGAAGAAATCAAAAAAGAAATCAAAATATGCATAGAAATGAATGAAAATGAAAACACAACAACTCAAAACCTATGGGACACTGTAAAAGCAGTGCTAAGGGGAAGGTTCATAACATTACAGGCTTACCTCAAAAACAAGAGAAAAGTCAAATAAATAACCTAACTCTACACCTAAAGCAACGAGAGAAGGAAGAAATGAAGAACCCAGGGTTAGTAAAAGGAAAGAAATATTAAACATTGGGGCAGAAATAAATACATAAGAAACTAAAGAGACCATAGCAAAAATCTACAAAGCTAAAAGCTGGTTTTTTGAAAGGGTAAACAAAATTGACAAACCGTTAGCCAGACTCATCAAGAAACAAAAGGAGAAGAACCAAATTAACAAAATTAGAAATGAAAATGGAGAGATCACAACAGACAACACTGAAACACAAAGGATCATAAGAGACTACTACCAGCAGCTCTATGCCAATAAAATGGACAACTTGGAAGAAATGGACAAATTCTTAGAAAAGTATAACTTTCCAAAACTGAACCAGGAAGAAATAGAAGATCTTAACAGACCCATCACAAGCATGGAAATCGAAACTGTAATCAGAAATCTTCCAACAAACAAAAGCCCAGGACCAGATGGCTTCATAGCTGAATTCTACCAAAAATTTAGAGAAGAGCTAACACCTATCTTACGCAAACTCTTCCAGAAAATTGCAAAACAAGGTAAACTTCCAAACTCATTCTATGAGGCCACCATCACCCTAATACCACAACCAGACAAAGATGCCACAAAAAAAGAAAACTACAGGCCAATATCACTGATGAACATAGACAGAAAAATCCTTAACAAAATTCTAGCAAACAGAATCCAACAACATATTAAAAAGATCATACATCATGACCAACTGGGCTTTATCCCAGGAATGCAAGGATTCTTTAATATCCACAAATCAATGTAATACACCACATTAACAAATTGAAAGATAAAAACCATATGATTATCTCAATAGATGCAGAAAAAGCCTTTGACAAAATTCAACATCCATTTATGATAAAAACTCTCCAGAAAGCAGGAATAGAAGGAACATACCTCAACATAATAAAAGCTATATATGACAAACCCACAGCAAACATTATCCTCAATGGTGAAAGATTGAAAGCATTTCCTCTAAAGTCAGGAACAAGACAAGGGTGCCCACTCTCACCACTACTATTCAACATAGTTTTGGAAGTGTTGGCTACAGCAATTAGAGCAGAAAAAGAAATAAAAGGCATCCAGATAGGAAAAGAAGAAGTAAAACTCTCACTGTTTGCAGATGACATGATCCTCTACATAGAAAACCCTAAAGACTCTACCAGAAAATTACTAGAGCTAATCAACGAATACTAGTCGCAGGATATAAAATTAACACACAGAAATCCCTCGCATTCCTATACACTAACAATGAGAAAACAGAAAGAGAAATTAAGGAAACAATACCATTCACCATTGCAACAAAAAGAATAAAATACTTAGGAGTATATCTACCTAAAGAAACAAAAGATCTAAACATAGAAAACTATAAAACACTGATGAAAGAAATCAAAGAGGACACAAACAGATGGAGAAATATACCATGTTCATGGATTGGAAGAATCAATATTGTGAAAATGGCTATACTACCCAAAGCAATCTATAGATTCAGTGTAATCCCTATCAAGCTACCAATGGTATTCTTCACAGAACTAGAACAAATAATTTCACAACTTGTATGGAAATACGAAAAACCTCGAATAGCCAAAGTAATCTTGAGAAAGAAGAGTGGAACTGGAGGAATCAAGCTCCCTGACTTCAGGCTCTACTACAAAGCCACAGTCATCAAGACAGTATGGTACTGGCACAAAGACAGAAATATAGATCAATGGAACAGAATAGAAAGCCCAGCGATAAATCCACAAACCTATGGACACCTTATCTTCGACAAAGGAGGCAAGGATATACAATGACAACCTCTTTAACAAGTGGTGCTGGGAAAACTGATCAACCACTTGTAAAAGAATGAAACTAGAACACTTTCTAACACCATACACAAAAATAAACTCAAAATGGATTAAAGATCTAAATGTAAAACCAGAAACTATAAAACTCCTAGAGGAGAACATACGCAATACACTCTCCGACATAAATCACAACAAGATCCTCTATGACCCACCTTCCAGAATATTGGAAATAAAAGCAAAAATAAACAAATGGGACCTAGTTAAACTTAAAAGCTTTTGCACAACAAAGGAAACTATAAGCAAAGTGAAAAGACAGCCCTCAGAATGGGAGAAAATAACAGCAAATGAAGAAACAGACAAAGGATTAATCTCAAAAATATACAAGCAACTCCTGCAGCTGAATTCCAGAAAAATAAATGACCCAATCAAAAAATGGGCCAAAGATCTAAACAGACATTTCTCCAAAGAAGACATACAGATGGCTAACAAACACATGAAATGATGCTCAATATCACTCATTATCAGAGAAATGCAAATCAAAACCACAATGAGGTACCACTAGACGCCAGTCAGGATGGCTGCTATCCAAAAGTCTACAAGCAATAAATGCTGGAGAGGGTGTGGAGAAAAGGGACCCCTCTTACACTGTTGGTGGGAGTGCAAACTAGTACAGCCGCTATGGAGAAGAGTGTGGAGATTCCTTAAAAAACTGGAAATAGAACTGCCATATGACCCAGCAATACCACTTCTGGGCATACACACCAAGGAAACCAGATCTGAAAGAGACACGTGTACCCCAATGTTCATCGCAGCACTGTTTATAATAGCCAGGACATGGAAGCAACCTAGGTGCCCATCAGCAGACAAATGGATAAGGAAGCTGTGGTACATATACACAATGGAATATTACTCAGCCATTAAAAAGAATACATTTGAATCAGTTCTAATGAGATGGATGAAACTGGAGCCCATTATACAGAGTGAAGTAAGCCAGAAGGATAAAGACCAATACAGTATACTAACACATATATATGGAATTTAAAATGATGGTAAAGATAACCCTATATGCAAAACAGAAAAAGAGACACACATGTACAGAACAGACTTTTGGACTCTGTGGGAGAAGGCAAGGGTGGGACGATCTGAGAGAATAGCATTGAAACATGTATATTATCAAGTGTGAAACAGATCGCCAGCCCAGGTTGGATGCATGAGACAAGTGCTCAGGGCTGTTGCACTGGAAAGACCCAGAGGGATGGGATGGGGAGGGAATTGGGAGGCGGGATCAGGATGGGGAACACATGTAAATCCATGGCTGATTCATGTCAATGTATGGCAAAAACCACTACAATACTGTAAAGTAATTAGCCTCTAACTAATAAAAATATGTGGGGGAAAAAAAAGGGCAGGCATACTAAACTGGAAAAAATAAATAAATAAAGCAAGTTGTTTGAGATTTAAAAAAATTTTAAATACATTTCATTTTTGTATTCTTCCCTTGCACACAAATGAGGTTAACTCTGAATCTTAATGTGCAAGAAGCAATTACCTGGGTTAGAAAGACACTATAATCAAAACGGATGACCTGGTATTGCAGTAGTCAAATATGCTGATTTATAGCAATAACATTAAAAAAACAAAGAACAACATCTCAGCTTGCCATAAACAAACCCAAAGGAATGAAGAAATAAAATTTTCATTATAAAACAACAGATATCTTGTGCTGTTTGCTCTTTCAGAATATCTAGCTGGAAAAACAGAAGTCTTCTGTACAATTAACTCACTGCAAACCAATTCAAACATAATTATTTTCCAAGGAGACTTTAAAGTCCAAAATGGAAGTATTCTTTAGTTGGCAACAACAACTGCCCCCCACCCCCCACCCCGCCCCAGTAATCATTTTCTCTTTCAAAATTGTAAAAATTCAAAAACATCTTTGGTCTTCTGCTTCTCTCTCATTCCTGTTTACCAATACTTTTTCTGTTCTTAAATTTCAATGACTGAACACTATTATTAACATAAATGAATCAAATATTGTAAAGTATAATATCTCACCACTTTGAAAGCTCTTGCAGGAGCAGGTAAAGAATTGGTTTCTTCTAAGTATTTATCCCAAGAAAAATGTTTCACATTTGGATAACCTAAGAATGAAAACAGTAAATCCTATCAGGTTTAACCAAAATGATAGTGACAACCACAAGCAGGCCTATAAAATGATGAGATATTGTTATCATTATAATGAAAAAAAGCATGCTCATATTACACAAAACAACTTTAAATTGATTACACACTTGGAACCACATGTAATAATGCAGTAGTTTTCATCTAGATCATGATTTCTCTATTTACTTTTAAATGAGAATATATATAATTTGCATTCTCAAGATAGTCTTAAAACACAAGATATACACAAACACACAAATATAAATACCCTTTAATCTAGAAATTTTACTTCTATTAATTTAGGAAGAATCTCATCTGTGTGTACAAAGAAAATGTATCATTTGTAAATGTGAAAATGTAAAAATCAGTTAAATAACCATCAATATAGAAATGTACAAATATATATACACACACACACACATAAATATTGTAAATGTAAAACAGAAAGCATTTAATAAAAAGAATGAGGCAGGTTTATATATATACCAATATGTGAAATACTCCAGATAATCATATTATTAGGCCAAACAAATAAGTTAAAACAAATCATGGAACAGTATTAATAGAATGTATAATAACAATATCCTTCCTCCATCTCACTCTCCTGTTTCCTCCGGAGTCCAAAGCCCCTTAGGGAGACATGAGTAGTAATTAGGGTTGGCTCAGTAGGGGAGGAAGCTGGCTACTTTATGCAGTCCTCTTTATGGCTACTTTATGTAGTCCTTACTGATAAAGTAAGTAAATACACTGGAGAAAAGAGAAGCAAGATTTCTCACTGACTCCAAATATGAAAAGTGAAAAACTAGAATGAATTCGGTGGTGTTAGATATGAACTGCAGCTAATGGTATACATTCATGGTTTTCAATATCTATAAATGGACATAGAAATAAACAAATTTTTATATATATTTACTTAACCATATATCCCCTGAAAGGCCAACAGCAGCATTAGTTCAGTAGCAATGAGCACATCGAGTGTTCACATCTTAGTGTCTACAAATCATTCTCTACAAAAATAAACCATGGAGTCTGGGAGAAAAGGGTGGCGTCAAGGTTGGGTCAGGGAAAACACAAAATAAGCCCAGCTGTGCCAGAAAATAGGAAATTTCTCCAAAAAAATAATAAAAACATGTCAAAAGGACACAGAAACCAGTCTAAAGGGTTTCCCTCTGGCCAAATGTGAGAAAATCTGAACATGAAAATAAATAATGTTAGTAATGGAATATAAGCCACTGATGATAATAGTATTATTTGGGTCCATGTTGATATAAATAAAATGAATGCATAAATAGGAAGACGAGAAAGCTATTTTTTGCAGAAGTATGTCATCTAATTATGTACAACAAAAGACTGAATAAGAAAAATCACCATTTAGCAACTATCAGAATATTAATGCACACTAGAAATATCAACAGATGCTGAAACTAGGACGCGACACGGGACCAAAGTGCAGGATATTTATACAACGTCAAAGTGTCTTCTCAAAATCCTTAATAATTACAGACAAAAAACTCCCTACATCCATGGATAAACCCGGTAACTACCATCTTGATCAATCACTGGTAAAAACCAACCAATGATGAGATAAACGGACCTCAAGTGGCACAGGAGATGATCCAATGAGAACACGGTACTGCTTCTGTGATATTCCTGCCAAGATGCACACCGTGGGTCTAATTACCGAAAAGTACCCCTCATGTTCAAACTAAGGAACATTCTACAAAATGACCGATTTGTAATTCTTAAACATACGGAAGTTATAAAAGTCAAGGACAGCATATTGAAGGAGACCAAAGAAATATGACAACTGAGTAATATGCCATCGTTGTGCTAGAAATGACATCCTTGATACAACTGACAAATGTGGATGGGTCTCTGATTCAAGGTTATAAAAATGAGCTATTTACTGTTCTTACAACTTCTCTGTACATTTGAAAATGTTCCAGAATAAAAGTTTGAAAGAGTAAATATGCAAACATTTCCAAGCAGTCAACATTTTACAGCGCATTTTTAAGGTATATACCTTGCAGAATTTAAACAACATTAAAGCTGACTCTGCATGCATGCACGTATATGTGCGCTCGGTCCCTCGGTTGTGTCCAGCTCTTTGTGACCCCGTGGACTGCAATCCACCAGGCTCCTCTGTCCATGGGACTTCCCAGGCAAAAATACTGGAGTGGATTGCCATTTCCTCCTCCAGGGGATCTTCCCAAACCAGGGGTCGAACCTGCGTCTCTTACATTTCCTGCATTGACAGGTGGGTTCTTCACCACTGTGCCACTTGGGAAGCCCTGCATGTATGTGTATACAGAGGCAAAAAAGGTTTCTCTGCAAAGAGATAATAATCACCTTTTAAGCCATTAAGAGAAAGAACAGTGGTTATCTCTAATTGCACTCTAAACTCATCTAAAGCACATCTCTAAACTCATCTAAGCACATCTAAATGGATAATTTGGTAATTCAAAAATAAAAATCATTTTAAAAGACATGAAGACTTTAATTTTGGAGAAAGAACAGTAGGTGTACAAAGGTTAAAAAAGAACATGAATATGGAGTAGCTGGCAGGGCTGCTTATGAGACTGATTTACAAAGCAGAAGAGCAATGGCCTGGGGAGACAGGTGACTAACATCCTTTCTTTTCATAGAGAAGATGTGAGACACAAGCCAGGAATCTGCCCTTAGAGAAAAGGGTCCAGAGAAAGGGCATCTTGTTTGCCACGGATCCAAAGAGCACAGTAACATCAGCACAGGCCTTGCACACCAGTCTTTATCTGGCATGTTTTTACTTTTGTTTTTTTTACTTTTTTAATTGGTGTGATAAAATATGTATCACACAAAATTTACATGTTTAACCATCTTCATGTGTTACAGTTAGTGGCATCAATTATATTCACCCTGCCGTGTGTTTGGTAGTTTTTCACATGCAATTTTGTATTTTTTCATTTTGCCAAAAAGCTACATCCTTTCTCTGCTACTGAATTATACAAGTCCATGAAAAGAGACAGAAGACTTGGTAATCTGCCTCACATCAGAAGTCAGTAATGATATCTCACACACCCCTTCCCAGGCTGTGAAGACATAGCCAGGAACCTGCTGTTTACTGGCCCTGTTAATTTAACAGATCCCTGCGTGCATGCTAAGTCACTTCAGTCTTGTCCAACTCTTTGCAACCCCATGGACTGTGGCCCACCAGGCTCCTCTGTCCAAGGAATTCTCCAGGCAAGAATACTGGAGTGGGTTGCCAATGATGAACAAAAGGATGGTAAGGAAAAAAAGAAAAAGATCAATATCAAATCGCAAAGTCCAAAAGAATCTGTATAATATAATTCAGACGGTGACAGTGGCAGTCATGATTCACTGGCTCCTAATATTATGTAAATCCCAGAACCTAGGAGAGCTGAGTGGGGTCTTCCAGGCAGCAGCACATTTGAGCTACCAAACCATTTAATATCTTACTTTAACACTACATAGTTTATGCAAATATTCTTCAGCTTAGCTCTGTAAAGCAGTAAAGAACAGGAGTTTTCATCCCTGAACACAGAAGAAAAGGCAGGAGGTAGAAGGGACTGGCCTTGCCCTTCACAGGAACGGCTGATCCCGAGTGAGTCAATGATCAGGCGCTAACTGAGAAGCAGTTATCAAGGAACTAGGGACAAGCTTGAAAACAACGCGAGCTGGCAGAGCAGAATGAGACAAGGATTTGAAGCTCCAAGCTGAGTCTCTGTTGCTTACACGCTGAGGGCAACATCCACGCAACAGCTACTAACATAACAAGGAGGCATCCTTTCCCCATGACAAGGACAGTTTTCATTACTCACAGGTGTACCCACAAAAAGCCACACACACCACAGTGATGCTCTGTGTGAGCTGACCACCCTATCATTTCATACCCGCAGTGCCACGGCACGTTAAATAGTGACATGCTCAAAAATTCACTGTCTGATGATGAAGTCACAGAATGTTCTTCAGCACATAAAAGTAAACTCAAATTGACATAAATGACAAACAGCAGACACATAACCAATACAAACCTGGAGGAGTAATGAGGGTTCTTCGATGTTCTTTACACCAACCAACTGGATGAATGTGTGGACTAGAGGCTTCACACCTGTAAGTTATAGAAAGTTAAAAATGGTAATTAGGAAAAGTTCTCAAATACCAGTAAAAGTTAAAAAAAAAAAGTCAGTGATTGTGAACATTTTACACCAAGTTCTACCTTTTCACAATCTATCTTATTTGGGAAAACACGGCTAAACCAAAGAATTTTTCACTCTTCCAACATATTAGTACCAACGAGATTTCTAATAGATACATAACATACAAAACTGACACCAGGCAAATAGCTTTTGTTCACACACAAGTGGTGTTATATTCTACAACTGCAAATATAGCAAATGTAAAGATAATGTCATTAAAATTTGGAATTTCCATTTAGGAAAATCATTTGGAAAAATAAAATGTATATAAATAGCATATACACAGGCAAGCTAAAATTATTTCAGTATTTCTAAGGACAAATATACAACATCAGGAAGACCAATCACCCTCAAAAAGCAAACACGCTCTCTCTATTTCCCATTAGAATGGGAGAGACCAGGTATTAAGATGGGGTGTTTCTTTTCCTCACCTCTTCTCTTTGTCATCTTTACTTCAGTCAAGTATATGCTTTGCCAAGGCCTCTTTACCAGTATGCACATCCGATTCCTTGCTCCTAATCAAACTTGTTCCATATAGTCCTCATCCCAAATGACACCCAACTCCAGTACTCTTGCCTGGAAAATCCCATGGATGGAGGAGCCTGGTGGGCTGCAGTCCATGGGGTCGCTAAGAGTCGGACATGACTGAGCGACTTCGCTTTCACTTTTCACTTTCACGCACTGGAGAAGGAAATGGCAACCGACTCCAGTGTTCTTGCCTGGAGAATCCCAGGGATGGGGGAGCCTGGTGGGGTGCCATCTATGGGGTTGCACAAGAGTCAAACACGGCTGAAGCAACTTAGCAGCAGCAGCAGCAACATGCAACACGCTTCATTCATTCATTCACTCACCCATTCATTGAAAGGTTGAGTGTCTATCATGTGCCAGACACTGGGAAAGGCACTGAGGATACAGCAGCAAATAAAAGGTATACCAACTTTCAGCCTCTTGGAGCTCACAGTATAGTGGGAAAAGAGGAAATTAATTAACAAACAAAATGTATATGCTGGGGGCAAAAAGCTATGCAAAGAATTGGAATAAAAATGTAGAGCGTAACAGTGGTAAGATACTCCTTCAAAAAACACTTAGTCAAGATGACTTCTTAAATAAGATGACATCTGAAAAGGGTGAAAAGAGGACTGAGCCACTCAAATATATAAAGGAAAGCCTTCTATGCTGAGGGGATAGCAAGTACAGATGCCTTGTTAAGAGGAGATATCAAGCAGAACTGTGTCAGGAATGGACTGAGAAAAGCAGAGAACAGGAAATCAAGAGGGGCCATTAGGCCACAGTAAGGTCTTGGAATCTTAAGAGTAAAATGATGTTTACTAGAACATTTTGTGAAAGGTTTTAGGCAGAAGAGTGGCATAATCTGATTTATGTTATAAAGTAATTATTCTGACTGCTTTGCAGATAATAAACCACATTTGGGAAGGAGACAAAAGGCTGCTGGCAGGTTTTTGCCAGCGCTGGTGAGGGTAACCTGAACCAGAGTGCTTGTGGTGAGGATAATAGGAAGTGATTGTATATTTAGGTCAATGTTCTAAAGGAAGAATCTACTGGATAAGCTGATAGATTTGACGCAGAGTAGGAGTGAAGGGAAGTCCAGAACATTCCAAGGCTTTGGGCATGGGCACTAGAAGATGGATGTTACCATTTTTTGAGACAGGAAGACTGCAAGCACAGCCTGACATTCCAAACAGTGAAGGAAGAGATCTGATATTAACATGTTTAACAAGCAGGTAAAGAAGTAGATCATGAGCACAAAAATTTGGAATTTAAGGGCACGATCAAGGCTAAAAACACACATTTAGGAGTCATCGGCAACTAGGATGGTGTTTAAAGCCACGAGCAGAGATGTGACCACCCAGAAAATGAGTACAGAGGACAGAAAGGAAAAGGCGAAGAAGTCCAAGAAACAATGGTTAAGTAAGAGAGAGAGAGAAAGATGAAATCAACTGGGTCAAATGCTGCTGCTCGATCAAAGAAGAGAAAAAGCAAGAGCTGATCACTGGATTTACCAATGTAAAGGTCACTGGCATACTTGACGAGAGCTGCTGCAGTGGAGCTGGGCATGAGAAAGGGCAAAACCCTGAACAGAATGGGTTTAGGAGAAAGTGTTGGGAAATGAGCATAGCTAGCTCAGAAAACACACTTAAGGAGTTCTGTTTTAAAAAGAAGCAGAGAAATGAGACGTTAGATAGAAAAAAAAGAATGCTATTTTTTTTTTTTAAAGCTGGGAAATATTTAGGGGACGCTGGGTGAGGCATATATGGAAATCTCAGTACACTTTAATGCCCAATCCCCTCAGATGCATTGTTTTAAACTGTATAAGCAAAACTACGGATCTTGATTGTCCAGTTATACTATTCTTTCCTGGACAAACATTTGGCTATGGATCATTAGTAATGATGCAGCCTTTATTTTAGGGAAATTTTTATGTTATTCTAGGGAAGACTCTTAATGGCTCCTTATAACAAGTATGTAATACTTCTTTTATTTTTTTTCAACTTAAGGCAACTATCAAGTACTTCTAATTATGTCAGATTCATGATGATTAAAGTAAAAGCATCAGACACAGTTCTATTTATTGGATTTCTCCATAAATTACAAGTAAAGAAAACACTGCAGCATATTTTGACCACTTGTTCCTGTGCAGCCAGAATCTCATATAAGGTTTTAATATTATTTAAATATTCATCAAAGTCACCATTTAAAATAAACAAACAAGCTGTCTCAATTATGAAAATAAATGTAGCTTCATTTTGATCTAGTTGACTTACAGCCCCTCTATAAACAAACAATACTTCCTTCAGAAATGGGAAGGCTGTGAAATTATTTGTTACTATTGCAACACAAGTCATCTCTTAGTCCCATCTAGTGTTCAAAAGCAGAAATGTAACCAAGAAGAAATACAATGAAGAACAACTAATGGTGACATGTTTGGCCAACTGCTGTTCCCTGTGCCTTTCCTTTCTTTCTTCGGGGTTTTTATGTGTATTGTTAAGAAAGTCCATTTCAAAACAATTTTTAAGTCCATTTCACAAGTAAGTACAAATTATTTATGAAAGCTGCTAAGACCCAAATCAGACCTAGATTGGTAGATAATAACAGAAATAAGAATTCATGAAGAACCCACACTTGTCATATAAAGTGAGCAAACATTAAGACCCTCATTTTATGGAAACACTGAGAGGTTAAGTGATTTCAGGTTGAAGGAAAAGGGCCCTGATTTCATTTCACAGACAAAAGCTAAACAAAACTAATGCACACACACTGGGCTCCCCAGATCTCGGCAGAGTCAAACAAGAACATTTCAAGATGCTCACTTAAGGAACACATCAAAGTCTTCATTTCAAGCAATAATGGTTTAGATTTCTTGAAAAAATGCAGCACACTTGGTCTCTCCCACTCCCTAAATCCAGCACATGATGACTGCCAATTTTCTTCCTGGTGCCTACTTTCCCAGCTCCCACTCTGCGCTAACTCTTCAGGGCTTCCATCCCTCTGTTTTACCAAGCCCCAGACCTCATCCCACCGAGTCATCTCGTTCTCCTTTTCACCCTTAATTCATTTCCAAGCCCATTCCCTACAGATGCTGTTTTCAATCTTCATAATTCGCTTCAAGCATAAAACCTGATTTTCACTAACAAGGTGACTACCAGGAAGAGACAAGGGGGGCCCTCTCGTCACCCCAACATCAGTGTTCCTTTCCTGTCTTCATTCTCTCCACACTGAGACAGAAGAAAGCTCATTTCTCCCCAAGGCGAGCCCTGCTCCTACGGGACCGGGGTCCTCAAAAATCCAGCCTCATGTCTCCACTCTCCCTCAACAACCGCTTCTTTCCTTCAGCCTAAAGCCAAGCTCAACACCTGAGGGGTTATTCCCTCTGAGACAATAACCCACTTCCACCTTCAGGGCTAAACTTCTCTGCCCACGTGCCTTACGGACATCTCTTTCAGTCAGTTCACTTCAGTTGCTCAGTCGTGTCCGACTCTTTCTTGCAACCCCATGGACTGCAGCACCCCAGGCCTCCCTGTCCATCACCAGCTCCCGGAGTTTGCTCAAACTCATGTCTGTCAAGTCGGTGATGCCATCCAACCATCTCATCCTCTGTCGTCCCCTTCTCCTCCTGCCTTCAATCTTTTCCAGCATCAGGGTCTTTTCCAAAGAGTCAGTTCTACGCATAACGGCCATCTCTTTAACATTTTGCAAACGGGTATCTGTTCCTGAAATTCTGACTTTAATCCTCACGACATCTTGTGAGATAGGGACTATTAACCCTTTTTGCAAACGGGGCACCTAAAGCTTAGAAGGATTAAGTCACTTACTGAATACCAAGGCTGCCACACCCCAAACATATCCCTGTTTGCCCCATGGACTTAAACATACGTAAGTGCTTTCCTTGGCCAGGAATATTTCATCCCAACTTCTAAGTACTAGCTCCTATCATTCTTTATGAGCCAGTTCAAATTCCATATCCCCAGGAAGATCTTTCTGAGAAACCTCAAGTGAGTCAGTCAGTCCTTCCTTCCATGGGCCACGCAGACAGCAAGCAGCTGGTTCTGATAAGTAAGCACTAACCACCACACACTCTGCACCCAAGACAGAGGTGTGTTTCTCTCTGTTCCCAGACACGGAGCCTCTCAAGACTGAAGTGCAGGGGCCCTAGGTCCCGTCATCTCTGTGGCTCACCACCACCATCAAGGGGTGTTTCTCAAATAAAATGGTTGATGACACACACACTGCTCTGAGAAACTGACAACATGATGCAAACTTTTCAACATTATTTGGGCAGACACATAAAATTATTATTACTCTTAATGTATACTACTAGTACACATTAGTATACAACTACTAGTAACAAAAGCAGAGAGAAAACCCAGAGGTAAACCAATTTTTATTCCAAAATACGTATACTATTTGCTCTCATTAAAAACTACTACAACCCTATATAAATTTAAATCCCAAACAGCATTTCTCTTTGAAAGGAAGAAATGTTTTACTGCAATTAAACATGCAGTACCACAAATATGTATGTGTGAGAGTACATGCATGCACATGCGCATTCAAGCACACTTTCAAATTCCCACTAAGGTAAAAAGAGATAAGATCACTGCCCAATTCAAAGGAAAAAAAAAAATCTCATTTTCAAACTATTTTAAATTGGGAAAGCAATCCAATTTGTAACCTCAATTACATACCTAAGTAACTAATTTATGCAGATAAAGACCATTCCAAAATTCAAAGATCAAAGAACATAATATTTAATAAGGTTGGAGAAATTCCAGTGCACTTAAGTAATTTTCAATATGCCTTAATTGCATATCGAGGAAGAGGACACACTGTTATTCTTTTTCTGACAATTAACAAAATGTAACTTCAACAGTTAGAAGTATAAGTCTATCCTCAAAGTACATTCCATTCTAAAAATAATTTGGTTGGGCTCATAAGAGAGCAAAATCATTGCTGAAAGAGATCAATTTTTCCCCCTGCTTTTTCTAATAAGAAACCAGAATGCTTCCTATTTCCTAGGCATTTGGCATCAAAGAAAAATGTAATACATTCTGCTAGACTTTCTCATTACTTTTTTTTTTCCCCCAGAAGAATGAATGCTTTTAAAGGAAATACATATTATGTCAAATAAGGAACCTACACTTTTAAAACCTATAATACTTATAGGACTGCAAAAATAACTGAAACATTCACCCACTGTGTTTAAATCAGGCAAAAGCTGTTTTTAAAAAATTCTCCCTGAAGCAGTAAGAACTCTAAAAGCAAAAAGCTCTCATTTCAACAGATTCTAATAAAGTATCATTTATTAATAAAAGGACTGGATCCCAATTGTCATGTTAGTACTGCCATCAACACAGCACATCAAACACAGGAGGGAGAGAAATATGTTCCACCTAGGACAGATTCCAATATCTCTAAATTCACAGTTTTCTCATCTACTCACTCATTCAAGACAGGTATGGATAGTTTTAAATGAAACAAAAAACCACCAGTTTGCAGAAAATATGAGAAAGAGAAGAACATGGTAAGCAATACAATGAGGATTCCATCAGCAAATCCAGGCTGTGGGAGAGTCAACAGGACAAACAACCTGGTTTCTAAGTTAGAGGGGGAAGAAAAGGATGAAGGAATAGGAAACTATAAATTAAAAGAGATCAAGAGAAACATCAAAGCAATCATAAAATGCACACCCTATTTGGACCAAAAGCTAATAAACCAAGACAGTTGGGGGATAATGTTTTAGTATGTTAGTGACATGATGCTATTTAGATATATTTGAAAAAAGAAAAAGAAGTTCTACCTTTAGAAGAGACATATTCAGACATGAAATGTTATGGAATCTGGAAATCTACTTCAAAACGGTCCTGGAGTTGGGATTTTAGAGCAGAAAAACACCGGAAACAAGACTGGTGTGTATTGATAACTGCTGGCAGTAGGTAACGCCTACAGGAGGTCACTCTACTGTTCTAAGTTTGTATACACCTGAAATGGTTTGTATTTCAGTAATAAATTTGATTGCAAACTGAATAAAAAGATATCCTATGAGGAAAATAATGCTTTGCAGAAAAAAAGCTGGGTAAAACTTACTATAATATTCAAAAGTACTTGATTCTATGTGATGTGATCATGGAACTACTTTAAAAAACTGTGAAAACCATACGTAAAATATAATTCAGATTTTTATAATTCATCTTTTAAAAGTCTAAACAGCAAATGGCTTTCAACGTCTCTCCTGTTTTAAAACAACGCAAGTAAAACTGATGACTGTGTAAGAATCCAATCCGAGAAGTAATGGAAATTATTAATGGCTCTACTGAATATTTAGCTATACACACACTAAAAAGGTCAAGAAACAAGTTTTCCTAAAACTGAGCTACATTTATATAAATTAACGCCATTTGCTACTGCAACGTTAGCCATATTTTATAAAGATAACTGTCACTTCTCAATGCAAGTATTATCCAGAAGGAACTAAACCATGAAGAAATGCCTTTCACCAGCAAACTAGTTTCACTAGTGAACATGAATTAGGTATGAAAAATCATTATTTCAACTGCCTAATCAAAATCTTATGGCTTTACTATAATCCTTTCATGATTATATAATTTTATAATTATGTTGTTCCTACCACTTTATGTATAATATAGCCAAAACCCTTAAGGGTTAAAAAAATATTCCTCAACTAATAATTTGTATTGTCATTATAAAGAGTAAAATTAGCTACTGTGCATGAAAATATGAAAGAAAGATTAAAATATTTTCCTAAGAAATGAGAGACGACACGCCAGATGAGGGGGGACGTGTGAGGCTGTGTGTGCACTCAGGTGTGAGTGTCTCTTGGGAGTCTGGTACGAATTGTGCTTACATAGGAGGTAGTCAACTAAAATACAAATCACAAAGTAGAACTAAAGGATGTTATTTTAAAAACACGTGCCATGTGGAACAGGTAAAAAGTTAAAAATCTGAAATGAGAAAGAGCAGGACAGAATACTGTTATTTGTGTTATCAGCTTTGCATTATTACTGGTTTTAAATAAGTACTTGAATAAACATCAGTTAGAAAATGCACAGAGCAATGAAAAATGTCTCACCAATAGTCATAGCTCTCATCCCAGTTGTCAAAATGTACAAGGAAACGATTGTCCACCATATCTGTTACCGTAGCAACACAGATGAATGCAGGGTTCTTTTTGTCTACAGCTTCAAGCTTCATTCCAACTCGAAAGCCTGATGGGATCACTGTCTATGAAATATACAGATTTAATTAGGGATAAGCACACACTTAACAGCAAGGACCTGTACCCTCTCTGCACCCCCGTTTGAAATCCTGGCATCCATCAGCTGTAGTCACATAATTTAAAAATTATGGACCAGTTTTGCAGCAGAGTTGCTTTCCAAGAAGCGGCAATAAGAAAAATGCCCCATTGCTACATCCAATTAATTATCTGGACCTTTAAAGCTAACACACCCACAACCTTGAAATGTTTACTTAATATGTGTCTTGGTACTTTAGATGGCTATGCTAGTTAGGCAAGTTTTATGTACTGTATAGTTTACTTTCAGTTTCTCTCTTCCTTTATTACAGACTTAACAATGAAAATTATTTCATTCAAAATATGTACATAATCAAGTTAAAAATGTGTGTAAGTCAGTACAAATTCACTCCCACTTCTGAAAAATCTTTTGAAAGGGTACTCTACTAAAAGTAGGCCATCTTCCTATATGAAATGCTGGAAATTATTACAACTTTGATTCAACAATACAGATGTTATTCACAATAGCATCCAAAGAGCTGGCTGTTAATACATAGAGCTATTCAAAATAGCTTGTAATATAAGGAAATGCACAGATTATTGGCCATCTGGGACATGAAACGAAAAACAATAAAAATTCAGTCAGACTCAGTACTTGAAATGCTGTGGACGTAAACTTTCCTCACAATATTTCATGAAGAAAAATATCCTAACCTCAGAGAAGTACTTGGATATCAGTAGTATCAATCACAACACACTACACGTCATTTCTGCCCTTCAGAAAAAAATCTTTCTTTCCAGACTGAACATACAGACACTCTTCTCATTACTTTAAGCAAAACAGATGCTCTCTTTTTACCATAATTATACAGCTATCGTTACAAAAATGTGGACAGGCATGTATCTGAATATGTCAAGAGTGAAGTCCTGTCTGAGTCAAAGGATCAGGCACTAATGCTACACAGATACTGTTACTATATATTTAAGCCCTGGACTCCTGTATCAGACCATAAACATTTGAGTGTTCTGAGGTAGAGAAATCTAGAAATACAAAAATTAATTATATACCAAACACATGGCCCAAGATTCAGTTTTGTGCTAGCAATGCACAGAATTTAAGACGATGGTCAGTGGCTCAAATACCTGCCTGAACTCATCATCAGAGAACCAGACAAGGATTAGGAAACTTGGAGCCGTGACAGCAAGCCGGTCGCTTAGTTTTCCACCTGACTGGCCTCCCTCATCTTGAAGGAGAATGCCGACTGACTATGCAGCATGGACATCTCAGCAATTAAGCTATCTTTTCAATTAAGATATTTAAAAATAATAATCTGGCTCATTATCTCTATTAATTACCTAAATGCATGCACATGCACACACACCCCCTCCAGTTCTCTAACTCAAGCTGGCCTATGTTTAATTTGATTAGAGAAAGTTTCAGCCATGAGACTTGTTGCCCTCAAAACATCTGGATGATGTCATTTCCCAAGGAGAGAGCATGCGGGCTAGGTGAGAAGGGTTTCTCTTCCTGATATCTGGAGGGAATCCCTAGTGAAACATGACGGCCTCTCTCCAGACTCTCACCCACTGTCGCCTAACTGGGGAATTTGGAAGGAGGAAGCGGTCACACCATTAAGCTGGCCTACAGGGCATATAGTTTCCACTCTGCTCCTTAGGCGCAAGCTCTGTCCTGCAAGATGGTAGTCTGTCCTGGTCCAGTGCCCATGGGCTACAGTGGTGAGGTTGGAAGGGCCAGTAAATCTCTTAACTCCAGGGCTCAGAATCAAGAGACTCATTTGTCAGCAAATATGGGCCACGCATGTACTCCATCTGAGCTCTCATCAACTGTAAAGGTAGGATTCTGGCTTCCCACCTGCTTATCCTCTATTCTTTACAATTAGATCAAAAGTTGATCAGAATAGAACATTGTAACATAGCAGGCCTCCTCAGAGATGCCCATAGCTTAAGAAGTAGAAAATACAAACACATCCGGACTGTGCTTCTGTTAACATTGCAAAACAGAGACAGACGCTGGAGAGAAGGTTTAAATGATAGTCTCTAGCATGCAAATTCAAATAGGGTTACACTCAGCTCACTATAGGAATCCTATCTGAACAGCACTCCTAAAATCAAGTGACCATAACCATAAAATGTCCATCAATTTAATTTGCTTAGACACCTTAATTGTCAAGTATACCTAGGTTTGATACTATATTGCCTTTTACTATTTAATTTTAAAAAATGACAGCCATGATATAGTTAAAAACAGATATTTATTCATGATAATTTTTAATTTTAAAGCTTAAGAGCACCTTATTTACCAAAGCAATAACATTTATTATAGTTTCTTGTTATCACTTGTAATTTATCCAAGGAAACACTCAAAAGCCACTTCCTGTGAAAGAAAAAGTATCTTGGAGGTACTTACTATATTCTGATTTTCAAATAATGACTTGGGAGCAGCCTGAGCTTTGCATGTCTTGAGATAGGTCTGCCAATTAAATTCTTCTTCTTTATATCCTAGGTCCGCACATATAAAGAAACAGTAAAATACCAAAATACTTCATACTTAGCTTTCCATTCTTACTTTTATCTGTAAGTCCAACATGCCAAAATCAAGCCATCAAGTGACTTTTTAAAATGGATAGTATTTAACTCATAATTAGTATCTAAGGATTTTTATACACAGGGTATTTATTTCCAACTAATTGTATTATTTTCTCAATTCCGAATGAATGGTAATGGATGAAAGGAAAAGGTATGAGGAAGCAAATACACATTGTCCTCAAATGGACTTCTTTTCATTACCAGACCATTTCTATCAGTATTTAGGTAGAATTCATTAGCAGTGAGCTATAGTAGTTGAGTTCTCTGTTTTTCCCTCACTCATTCTATTTTGGGAGACTAACTTGTAGGAACAGTGGGAAGCTGGAAAAAATGGTACTACAAGAGATAAAATCTTTCTGGCCTGTCACCAGAAGAATGACAATTCAAGATTCATGAAGTGAGCATGTTGGCCAGCTATAATAATGGAAATGTCCTTTCCTTAGTTTTCACCATTTCATGTTCAACACTGGTAAAGCCAACATTTCCTTTAAAAAGGAAATTGGGCATTTAATTTTATCTACTCAGGTCCTCTTTTCTACTTCCATCAAAGTCCAGAAGGTGGTGTGAAAACAAAAACAATTCAACACATATGAGGCCAATTTATACAAAGGCTTACAGATTTTCTTTTTCATCCTTCTCTTTTCTAGGTGTTTTTATTCAATCCTTCAGTTATCTGAAAATACCATTCTGCTATTAATTTTTCACTTAAAACCAAAAGATGGCTTGTCCATTAACACCCAATAACCCACCTTCCCCCAGCTAAAAAAAAAAACTCAATAATCCTGATGTAGTAGCCAGTGAAGTTGCTCAGTTGCGTCCAACTCTTTGCGATCCCATAGACTGTAGGCTGCCAGGCTCCTCCATCCATGGAATTTTCCAGGCAAGAGTGCTGGAGTGGGTTGCCATTTCCTTCTCCAGGGGATCTTCCCAACCCAGGGATCAAACCTAGGTCTCCCACATTTCAGGCAGATGCTTTACCATCTAAGCTACCAGGGAAGCCCCAATAATTCTAGACAGACCAAAAATATCAGACTGGTAACCTGGTTCTTTCATATCAAGCAAACAATACTGAACGCAACATGAAAAGAAAGGAAGTAAGACATTATTAAATACCCTAGGGATGAACTGAAAAAGATACAATCTGTTATTCTTGGCTCTTTCATAAACATGAAATAGGCAAAATCATTGGCAGACTGTAATATAAAAATTTAATAATAAAAGAGTAATCACTATCAGTTCAGCCCTCACCCAAACTGCTTTCAGTGTTACAGTCTCCTTTCCAATCTCTTAAACATAAGATAAGTTCAAAGCATAATTTCTCAAGGTTTTTTACTTACTGAAATGTCAGTAAACGCACTTAGTTATATAAACAGATTATAAATAATTTTGCAATCAGTTATTTCAAGACAGTATGCGTGTATGTGTTCTGTGGGTGTGTGTGTGTATGTATGAGATAGAAATTTGTAGCTAAAATCTATAGTCAAAGTATCAAACAAATGTTATGTGGCATGCAAATAAGTACATGGACATAGTTTATTCTCTTAAGTAGGGTTCTATTTTTTAAATTTCTTTCACTTTAGAAAACATCTTTCATCATGAACAATAAGCTTAAACTTGGGCCCACCTGATTAATAAACATTTCTCATCATGAACAATAAGCTTAAATTTCGGCCCACCTGAATAACCACAAAGTCTGAATTCTCAAAAATCTAAATTACAATATAAGAAAGTAAGTGTTTTCAGAATATAAAATATGAAATTAAAAAGTGACAATACCTTTTGGAGGATGGAGTTTATGGCCAGTTTTCTCACACCACCCAACTGGGTGGATATCCAGAGCATCGGCATTTACCCAGAAGTCATAACAATCAGAGTATCCATCAAAGTGCAGCTTTATCCTGTATCCACAAACCTGTAATAGGCAAAGAACAGAATATTTGTGCACATGTATAAAAATAAATTAACATGGACCTCAAGTATGATATGGATTATATTAAAGCACCATTGTTAACAGCCACAAAAACAAGTGAACAAATAACAAAATCTAAAGGCAAAATTTATTTCTTTGGGAAGAGCTGAGCTAGGAGTTCCAGCCTCATCCCTAGTTCCGTTAGAAGCACACAGATCTGGGTGAAGAATAATTTTCCCACATAGACAAGTCCCCCTCTTTATCCCTGCGTTGTACACGCGCAGGGTGCACAGCTCCCGCAGGGGCCCAGCATGGGTGCCCTATCGTGCACTGGCTCAGGGCGGGCTCTCCGTCCTCTACAAAGCTCCACACAGCGATATCTGGCCAGACACGTGCAGACACGGGGAGCAGGCAACAGTCTCCTTCCCCCAGTAGCAGAGCCGGGAGAAAGAAGAGACTCCCCAGTTCATACTTAGATGAAACAGGATCCCTGGAACGTGGTGAGAACTCACTCCATGTAACCCATGTCCAAGCCTGAGGTCACACATCTGCTTAAATGAGGGCGGCACGTGGGGGAGTTCTAAGTTAAAAAGGCACGTGGGTCTATGGAGCCTCTGCCAGGTCATGCTTGGCACTAGGCTGGCAAAAGTTCAGCCTCTCCATCTTCTTCCCATTAGCACAGCAGACGGGTATAAGACCACTTATAAACAAAGAACTTATAAACTTTCTTATAAACAAAGAGCAAACTTCTTATAAGAACACTAAGTCACTGAAGGAAAACTATAAGTAAAACTAATACACAAGATCATCTGATTCTTTGAGGAAAATTTTAAAAGATACCTCCCCCAACTCAAGGGAGAGAACAAGGAAATAAGCACATAAAGGAAAAAAAAAGTTCTAAAGAGTTCTCAGTAATACATTATACTAAGATACACATAATTGACTTGGACATTTTTTCCTGAAAAACTTTAGAGATACCTTGAAATACTAAAAATAATACAAATATCTGTTGGTCTGTCTCTTATGTTAAGGAGCATGGTATGGCAAAGGCTATGGTGTCAAATGAACCAGGGTCAAATCGTGGTTCCACTGCTTTGAAGCTGTGTGACCTTGTATACCTCACTTAACCTCTCTGAGCCTCATTCCCTTCATCTATAGAACAGGGAAGAAAAAGGGTTCTTGCAAAGATTAAATGGGGTAGTTTACAAAACACTAAGTACTGTGCCTGGCATAAAGGAAGTGTTCAACAAATGGCACCTTTTCCCATTATTAAAACCCTATAATCACTATTTTATTTTAAAAATAAAGATGAGGCAAAGCTTACCTCAGCCACAGTGAGGACACAATACACAGACTGATGTTCAGGGTCCACGCCTTCTAGTTTCATGCCAACTTTAAACCCATTTTTGTTATATGGAAAAGATTGATACTAAAATGTAAAATGACAGCAGTTTTAGTGAGTGATAATCATTCTTAAGACTATATAATCAAATCACAAACAGCTCCTGAAAATGCAGGGAAAAAAAAAAATGAGATCACCGAATCATCTCATGTGAAAACGGACAACGCAAAGAGGTGACAGAAAAGGAAATTCAAATGCTTTACATATTTGAAAAGATGATCAACCTCCCCCATAAGAGTCATACAAAGTAAAATTATAGTAAAATAGATTCCACCTATCAGACTGATAAAGATCAAAAAGTTTGGTTACAGTACACTAGCAAAGCTCTAGGGAAAGAGATGTATAAATACATTGCTAATAGGGATATAAATTTGTACAACCTCTAGCAATCTCCTGAGATCTATAAAAAAGAACATTCTCTTTGACTCAGCAATTTTAATCCTAGGAAATTACCCAACAGAGATAGCCACATATGTGCAAAATGAGCAATGTATGAGGCTATTCACTAAAGCATTTACTTAGCAAAAGACTCATGTATATATATTATATATTCCACATAGTGAAGAAGGAAATGACAGCCCACTTCAATATTTTTGCCTGGAAAATTCCATGGACAGAGGAGCCTGGCGGGCTACAGGCTATGGGGTTGCAAAGAGTCGGACACGACTGAGCATGCTCACAGCCCACATGTACATACAGTATTTCATCTTATGTCTGTCTCATAATAACTTACGCTGGTCTCTACTGCCTGACACGTGTGTGTAACACTCCTGTGATATATGTATGACATACATATATGACATTTATGTCAACCACAGTATGAACCAGTTTATATTATTATGGAACAAACATAAGATGAAATACTATGTATGAGTATAAAAGACTGATGAAGTGGGTAAATGAACTGAGATGGAATAATCTCCAAACTCAGACAAAAAAGCAAAGTTCAAAACAGTATATGACATATGTCATCATGTGGTTTAAGGCAGGGGGAAGATTTGCCTATATATTGCTTATATGTACATGTAATTTTCTTATAGCACTTTCATATTATGAATCATATGAATGTACTGCTGATTCAAATAATTAACTGTATTTAAACTGTTTAAAGTGCAAAAAAGTGTATTATGCAAAGGACCAAAGTTGTGAAAAATAATTATACGGAACAAGTCATATGCAATTGCTATTATATCTGAATTAAATAGTCAATGTAAATGTAATCATCCCAACATTTACTATTCACCGCTTTTCAAAAAAAATTATTATTGAATATTCACCACTTCTCAGAAATGGCATGTTAATATGTATGTAACAAAGTATTGATGGCAGATTTATTATATACCATGTGACATATAATTAAATCATTTAAATCAAGGGTCAGTGAACTACTATCTCTGGGACACAACCAGCCGACCGCTGTTTTTGTCAATTAAATTTTACTGGAATATCAGCCATGTTCATTCATTTATACATTGCCTGTGGCTGCTTTCATTACAAGAACAGAGTTAAGCTGTTACAAATGAGACCATATACCCATAAAGCCTACAAGATTTTCTCTTGCCCTTTATGGAAAAAGTTCGCTGATCCCTGGTTTAGCCCAGTGACAGCAGTTCCTACTCAGAACTACTTTTACTGATCTTAACTCACTTCTGATAAAATATTTTTACTAGAGTTAATATAACAATCTGTTTTTTGATGTTCTGTTCTATCATGCAAACCTCAGTAACTCATTTTTATTCTCCCAAAGCCATGACATTTTATGCTAGTTTTCCTTTATCTACTAGTTTTTCAGTAGTAATAGAAGCATCCTTCTTCAAATCAATGCATGAAAGCCTAACATGTTGACAGAAAATAGCATCTGTGTGTATGTGTGTATTTGTATGTGTGCTGTGTGCCCATGCATGTGGCCCAAGGTATGCATATATGACAATAGTTACCCTTAGAGGTCCCCCTCCACATATGAAAAACAGTATGTTTGAAAAATTATCCCAAGTCACATTTCCTAGACAGGTAGTAGAAACAGCAATACTAATTCCAGACCAGCATTGCAGCTCCTTTGCCCTCATGCACAATGCCTCCTAGAAGGGTCTGTACCTCCTTGAACAGCTTTGCCGGCACGGCCACAGCTTTCTCCTCTTCCAGGTAGGAGGCCCAGCACCACGCTTTCTTCCCTTTAGGAGGCAAACCTGAAAGGCAAGTGAGACCTGATAGAATTTCCAAATCTAGGAAATCAAAGCGGTACACTTACTGTGAACTCTCACTTCCCCAGCTACCCCCGAGCCTGGCTCTTCTCTTACTTCCACGGCTGAGATTTCTCAATTTCTTTTCCTGACTCCTCTTCTGAAGCACTGAGAGCTAAAAAGTAAACTATGTGTATATCCAGGAATGAGTGTAGAAAAAGGAACAGAAGAACTTAAAGTACTTTTAAGAACTTAAAGTACTTTACTTAAAGTAAATGATGGAGACGTAGGAGGAATCCAAGATAGACCAGAATCATGGAAGCTCAGCAAGTTAGAGTGTCTAAAAGCAGGATGCTCCAAAGTTTCTTCCTAATGAATCAAGAAGCTAAGAACTGAGAAAAGGTCAGTGCACAGAGTAACTTCGGGACTGGCTGCTAACTTGGAGAAAGAGGGAAAAAAAAAAATCAATGCACCCAAGGCCAAATTTTAAGTTGCAAAAGAACACATAAATGATAAAGATACAGAGTCTACAGCAATTTTGTTTGGGGTTAATTTAACAAAAAAATGAAAATGAAGAAGGGATATATAATGTTAGGCTTGATGGGCTTTAAAATTTAGGGAGAGATATTTGCAGATGAGCTTAGAACAAGCAATGACAAAGTTCATGAAGAGGAAGAAAACGGAAGACCTAAGAGAGGGAAATAACTGAAGCAACAAGGCCGCTGAAGGGCCAGAGCCCCGAGAGAAGAAATGAAGGGGAAGGGACAGAAAGGACAAAGACATTTTTGAGGCAGAGTGCAGAGTAACTGAGAATTTACTTCCTTTAATGTCAGTGATGAAATACAGAAGGCCATCCAAATGTAAAAGTGACGCTGTGTGCCTGATGCAGGTAGAAACATCTCAAAGTGTTTTTAAGAGACAAACAAGGAGGAATGTGGTTCAGCCCTGAGGAGAAGCACTGGGTTCAGGCCCTGATTCACGGGACAGTGTGACTGGCAGGTCAGGACGGGACTGTGCAGAGTGCAGAGACCTAACACGGAGATAGGCGGGCAGACCTGACCGGTCCTTCGACACAGCCAAGCGGGGCACACAGACGCTTCTGGGGAGACAGCCCAAGGTCCGGGATGAATGAGGCCGTGAGTTAACCCACCAAGTACTGAAGGGCAGGGCCTAAGTGCCAGATTCCTCAGAGAATAAAGTGTTCCTTGAGAAACAAAGAAAGGAGAAAAGGGTACCATGTCAGGAAGTTATGGTTGAGAGAAAACATTAAAAAAAAAAAATCTAAAATTTTATGAAATGAGTAAGACCAGAGGTTTTAGTCAAAGCACAGAAGTAAAAGAAACCTATTTGATGGAAAAATAAATAACAGAAAATGATCTCAAGTTTTCCCTGACACTGCTTGAAACTTGCTAATTTCCACTTTCCCCTCGCCCTTTTCTACTTCTTCTAAACTCCAACTTTTATTGACACAATTTAATCAAAGAAAATCCCCAAATGATCCTTTAACTGCCATAGTGTGCGTTACAATTAGGACTAAAATGTCTGCCTGTGAAATATTTTCAGCTTCATAAAATTACAAGTAAAGCTTCCTTTCATCAACTCACCCTGCTTTAATACAGCCGAATCACCTCGCCTTTTCCTTCGGGCTCTCTGCGAACCCCTCAGGATTCTCCCATCTTGTTTGTTTTCCTATAATAAGGCAGAAAAGCTTATGATTTTCAAAAGTTCATGAAATTGGCATCAATGAAAAGTTAGAGAGCTGTCAGAAAGCATTTTTTTGCACTGTTCTTCAGTTTCACTTCATAACTTTGAAAGAAAGTAAGAATATAGGTCACTTGAGAACTCTGTTGCTCTTGGCCTGAGGTCCTTACAAAATGAGAACATTTCCAAGAATCACACTCTGGGATAGCACAGATCCTGTTCCCACCTCCTTGAAACGCTTTCTTCTTTCAGCTCCTTGGCCGCTCTGGTCTGGTTCCCCTGGTACCTCACCGCCCTCTTTCTTGGTCCCTTTGCTGACATCTCCTGCCATCTAATCCACTTGGACATCTAATAAGCATCTCAAACGCATGACGGACAAAGTACTGTAAGTTCTATACTCCACTCTGGCCTTCCCATCCTCAAGAAACAGTACGATTACCCAGTTCAAGCCAAAAAGCCAGGAGTTCTCTCTCATTCTTCTCTCTCCCTCACATACCCTGCCAACTCTGCCTTTAGCATCTTTCTCAAAACCACTGCCTTCTGTCTTAAACAGCCCTCTCAGTCTACTACAGTAAGCTTCCGGCTGGTTTCCCTGATTCTACTCTGTTCTCACATGTCAAAGCCAGAGTGATCATTTTAAAACACTCATCATATCAAAGGATCCCCCTTGCCCTCTGCTCTCCAGTGGCTTCCCAGCACACCCAGAGTAAAGTGACAACCCATGACCCTGGTTTACCGTAAAGCCCTGGGCTGCGCACAACTCACCAGCCTCACCTTACTCCACTCTTCTCTAGCCTTCAACGCTCAGCAACCTTGTCTTCTTTATTTCCTTAAACAAAGCATGCTACACATGTTTTTACCTTACGGTCTTTTCCCCAAACAATTTCCACTGCCCTGCAGAGCTCCTTACTGCCAACTTTACATCAGCCTCCTTATTCAGATCATACTGTCCAAGCCACCCTCCCTGGAAGGCCTCCTGATAACCCAGCTTAAAGCAGTTAGATTATCTCAATGCTCTATTGTACTTCTCATCATAGTGCTTATCACAGGCTGATATTTCCCCTAGTGGTTTACTATATGTCCCTGAGAAAAAAGATCCTGTCCTTCTGCCATCTTATTCATCCCTGCATTCCCAGCTCCTAAAACAGTGACTAACCAATAATCACTGCTCAATATTGATCTTATGGAAAAATGCTTTGAGACTTCAAAGTTGTCTTTTCATATAGAGTTACTAATAAATACTTTAGAGATGAGATGTCTATATTTTAATTAGCGTATTTTGAATTAGTTTTCCCTAAATATATCTGACATTTATCTGCCATTTTCTACCTATTCGCATAGTATTATAAGATCTGTCTGCAATTTACCAAAATAAGATTGGCATTTTGCTGTCAAGAAGAATTTAAAGTTAATTTGCATAACTGAAGGTTCTGCCATTGACTCTCTCACACCAGCAATAAATTTCAGGACTTCCTACTTCCTCACCCTGAGGGAGGGGCACTATACCATTTATTGTTCTCATCTTGAGATGAGGACAGTGACACACACAGAGGGTCGGTGGGCACGCTGCTGATGGTAAAACAAGGTCACAGAAGCAGCACTGAAACCCTGCAGAAGGAGCAGCCTTGGGGGTACTGACCATCTCGTCATCTCGCTCTTCTTCCTCCTTGGAGTCAGCTTTCAGAGATAACTTTGGCTTCTTCTTCCTACTACACTTAGAATCTTCTTCCTCGTTGTCTTCTCCCATGTCCCTTTCTTCCTTCTGATCTCTGTTGAGTTTATAAACCCAAAACAGTGACTAGGAAACAATACCCATCAAATATCTGCATGTTGATTAGCAAGGCAAAAACCTTTTAAAAATATTTAACCAGGAGGAGAAATGTGTATGTATTAGAATATCACAGAAAAGAGACACTTCAGACCAAAATCATGACACTGTCAAGTTAGAAAGTGGAAATTAGCTTACATATTAATTTATATAATTATTTATTATAATTATGTAATTAATGATAAAACTTTAAAAGGGCACCAGTCCTACACGTGAAACATGTTCTAACAAGTTTAAAATTATTGGTTTTTCACAGCTACCATCCATACTAATAAAAGAATCGATTATTTGCAGCTATCCTAGTCTTTGGTGACAATTTTAAAGCAACTATCTAGCAATTATTGAGAATGCCAAGTTCAATCAAAAAAGGCCAAATGTAATCTGGTAAAATACCAGATGGCCAACAAAAACAGACAATTCCCCAGCCTGTGCTGATTAAATACTTGGGAAACTACACTAGAACATAAATACCAAGTCATTTATTTGCAGTACACAAGTATATGCAGGAAATATACCTTGTTAGTGATAAGCTGACCTCATCAGGGTCCCCCAAGGCAATCACACCACCATCAGTCACAGCTGATGGCCCTGTCTCAGAATCCTCAGTCTGTCCTTAGAACCACAGAGGCACAATTACAAGACTCCTCACTATGGCCATTCCGTGCATGCTCAGTCAGGGGAAGCTGTATTTCATTCATGGAGTTTTAGCTGAATTACCAAAGAACTCCCAAAATTTAAACCCAAGTGCATTTTCACAAGCATCAGTATCACTAAAATGTGTATGTAGCCCAAAGAGATCTAAATACTCTTGGATGGGGAGCAAATTAACGTAAACAAAAGACTAAAGAGGCCAAGATTGTATTTCAGATAGGACATGAGCAGCATAACTGAACTCAGACCGAAACCGCCTGGTCCAGTAGTGGGATTAGGGTCCACCTGCCTCCAAAGGGGAAGTCTTGAGGGGTGGGATGGAGTGGGGGTGGGGGGAAGGCATTTGGATGATAGACGTCAGAGAACACTAAATGTCTCTATTCCCAAGCACCAGGCTGTTGGACTCTAAAACTCATTTTATAAATGGAATGTGGGCAAAAACCTACTTGTCTTTGATATGTCGAGCACAATTCTGGCTGCAGTAGTTTCCTCCAGAAAGACACTCATCTCCGTTGCCATACTGACAACAGTTCTCACAGAATTGAAGCCCTTCTACTTTCACTGGATCCTTCAACCTGAAAGGCATTCCAGTCTTCTCAGAAAAGACTAGAAGATGAAAAGAAGGGAAAAAAACTTAAAACCATGATAGAAATAGTGGTGAAATACATTTAAACTTTTTCTTCTAATAATTTTGTTAGCAACACAATAAAAAGGATAATGTTTGTTGAATGAATGAAGGAACATTGATCATTCCTTTGGGATGGAGAGGAGGATGGGCTTGACTGGGATCACTCAAATCATTTACATAACAAAAACATCTGTAGAAAAGACAAGTAAAAGCTTGTCTAATGCCTTTTCTACAGAGTTCAAAGTAAAATGAAGAAAATTTCATTAGTCACTAAATTCAGAAGATGAAATTGTCCATCCATAGAATCCGTTACAGCTGTTATCTTTTTGACAAAATTTAAAGAGTTATCTATGTTATATAATGTTTTTGATGAGTGACTCTTTTAGCTAATGGGCTGAATCAACATCTTTCCATTTTACTTTTAATGTAGCAGATCTCCTGAATCATAATTATCCATATTGTCTAGGAGTCTACATTCCCTTTCGTCTGAATCATTAGGCTAATCATTCATTCAGCAAACACTTATTAGGCACCCATTTATGCTAGACACTGATAATGACAGTACAGACCTTGCCCAAGAGAGCTCACAGTCTAGAAGAGAAGACAGGCAAGAAAACCAATGTTTATAATAAAATGTGATACATGCAATAATTGAAGCATGAACAAGTTTCAGAAGCAGTGCAGAGGAAGAAGTGACTCATCCAGCCTGGGGTGGTGGGGGGGGGGGGGGAGCGGGAGGGGGGCAGTGGGTAGTTCGAGAAGAGATTTTCTGATAGAAAGCCTCAATAGCGTTTTGAAGGCCAAAGAGGAATTTACCAACTGGACAAAGAGAGAAACAGCATCCTGGCCAGAAGAAACAGTGTGAGCAAAGGCAAGAAAGCATGAAACCACATAGTCCTGGGAGAATTCTGTGTAACCCAGTGCTGCTGGCCCTGCCAGAACACAGCGTACAGAGAACAGAACAGACAGCAAAGAGACAAAAGCAAGCAGGTGGGTGCGGGTCACCCAGATCTTTGTATGTTTTGCTAAAGAGACAACAAGAAGTTGGTGAAGTGTCAGATAAGCAATCTACATCAGTTCCTCTGACTTCAGTGTGCTGGGTAAACTGGGGGAGATCAGAAGCAAAGGGATTCTTTAAGAGGCGTCTGAAGTGTTCAGGTGAGAGGCGATAAGGGCCTAAATTAAGACAGTGGCAGTGATAATAAGCAGAAAAGGCCAGATCTGAGACATATTTAGGAAACAAAAACCAAGAGGATTCAATAACAGGCTATGGGGCTGGGAGAGACCAAATTCAGGATGACTCCTAGATTTCTTGCTTGTCCACTGGATGGATGGTGCTACCATCAACTGATATTACGGGCTACAGAAGAAAAAGCAGGTTGGGGGAGGGGAGAAAGAAATAGAAAATGAATCGCATTTTAGACATGTGGAGTTTGAGGTACCTGTGGGACATCCAGGTGGAGATGTCCAGTAGGCAGGTGGAAATACGGGCCTGGAGCTCGGGGGAGAGGTCGGGGCTGGAGATATAGATTTAGGAGTCATCAGCATATAGGTGTTAGTTAACAACCATCGGAGCAGATGAGAAAAAAGTGGCAGGCTTTTGGCTAAATCACCTGGGTAGGCTATTTCAACATGAATTTACTTGGCAATTTTCAATTAACCTTGCGCTATGACAGATCTGGCTTGAGGAAAGAAGACACTTTACAGTTATTTCAAAAATATTAAAGCTGGTTCCACATCAGTTTCATCATAGAAATTTGCCTAAGAATATGTGACATGAAGATCACCCAGGATTTTCAAAGTTCCAGCCTATTATAAAACCTTAGATAGTCTTACATTAAAAACTCTCAAAAAAAAAAGAAAAAAGAAGACAATGCAGATGACCCATTCTTACCTTCTTGAGCAGTTGGTACCATCCAAGTTGTAGTTGCCGTTGCTTTTTTAACATTTTCCATCTCACTCTCATCTGTAATAACTTCCAGGGCTCCAAACTCATTTACACGGAACTAGCAGCAACAGAACAAAGAGGCAAAATTTATAAGTGCTCAAGAACTGTCACCATTTAAAGGCTGGCACATAGAGTCTACATTTTAAGAGTTAATTTCAACAGTTACATTCAGATAAACCCCAATTATATCCAGATAAACTCACTACCACTATGAAAACCCTTGCATCTAACAAATCTGAAATTTCGGGAAGAGGGAACAGAACAAAGCGGCAAAGCACTTAACAACACAACCCACCACCTTTGCACTGTCCTGTGGAGTTGTCAGCTCACTTATATGGCTCGTAATTTCAAATACTTTTTTTTTTTTTTTTGCTAAGGTTTTGTTTCACATTTCATATTACTGTTCATTTAATGATTAAAGTTAGTAAAAGCAGAATTACTGTTTTCCCAGGAATCAATTTGTCTCACCCAAGTTCACCTAGTTCAAAGAGCAGGAAAAATTACCATTTTAGAAATTCTGACTCGTACATCCAATCTCCATATTCCAAGAGGTGACGAAGGAAGGCTGAAGCATGAGTCATGGGACCACCCCCAGCCAGGCTCTATATTTCCTCTTTCTTTCTCTGCTCTTTAGAATTCTCCATTATAGTCATTCACTTCTAGTCCTCCCAAACAACTGGTAATATCTGAGAGATCTGAACAAGCCTACTAGCCTCAGGCCAAGTTTACCACTAAAAAGTAAGGGCATTTTGATTTCATGGGTATTCTGGACCCCAAATATTGAAAATTTCCTCTCACCTCATCTCATGGCAAGCCTCAAACCAAATATTCTTCTGCAATCTCCTGGGCATACTATATTGAATCATACTAGGCATAATGTGTTGAAGGCTTTTAACCACTACCTGTGTGCAGGGGCCCCATCCTCTTTGAAACAATTAGGTTGACTCTCACACTCATGAGAGTCAAAGTTATTCTGTATTCCTTCTGTTTTCCCATAAAACAGACTGACATAAGAGATTCACTAATTTTACCAGGGGACAAAGAGCTAGAAAGCTCAAAATTCAAAAGGATCATAAAACATTGGCTTAAAGTTTTTAGATCGCTCCCAGAAATATATATGAACATGCAAATATGCAGTATTTAAAATGAGGCCTTCTATTTTCCAATCTAAAAGTCTATTTGGTCAACATGCCAACGGAATGATTAATTTTACCAAACTAGATTCAGGCTGCATGTCAGAAAAATCTTCAGCCATATTTACAACTAATTATTCTTTCCACCAGGTGAAAACAGCACCTTAAACAATTTTCTGCACGTGGTCCACAATTATTAAAAGCCTTCTAAACAGAACAAGTGACATAGTTATGGAAAGTGAAAATGTTTTCTCCCTATTATATATTTCAGATACAAGTTCCCAGGTAGCATGTATATACTAAACCTGTGGATTCACCTAAAAATGTCCATTTAAGAGGTGGTAAAAAGTCAACTGGGAAGGAAAGAGCTAAAAATAACTTCACTTGTTGGGAAAAAATTAAGTTTTAAATGATCAACTCTGAAACCAGAATATTTGAAAATAAAGCTGATAGTACCATCTACTGGGCAAGAGTAGAAAAGTCAAGCCATCATGATTATTAATTAATGACGTTAAAAATGATGGTAGAAAATCAATTCTGAATGGAATTTTTTTAAAACTGGCATTAGTCCAGGTAAGTAAGTTTACTTTTATTACATGATGATGGTAATTTAAGCTTTTTGACAAATATTAATACAAAATGTGGGAAACAGTACAAAACATTTACATTGCACAGAAAGTCTTCTGTGGTTCAAATTTCCAGACCGCTGCTAAACTACACCCTGGCGTTTCAAACACTGAGAAAGAGAGTGCAGCTGAACGGAATCTTCAAATCAAAATTCACACCTGTGACGCGTGGGAGTTTTAGACTCACTTTTAAAGTTAAAACATAATATTCCCACAGAACAACATTTAATTCCAGTTATCTTTTCCTTTTAACAGTCACTGCCAGTAACTGACCTACAGTCTAAGGCACACAGTAAAGATGCAATGCACTGAGGAACAGTTAACTCCTGTAAGCCGGGGACCCATGGATAAATCACATGAAATAAATGCAAAATTATGGCTAAGGGCAGACACTGATTTATCTATGGGTAGGGTTCATTAATTCTAAAGGCATCCTATAACGCTGGGGAAAAAAAAAAACAACAACAGAACTCCTAAAGGAAAAGAGGCAGAACACTGTCTGACATAAATTATAGGAGTATTTTGGGGGGATCTATCTCCTAACACAAAGGAAATAAAAGCCCAAAGCGGGGGCACCTATTTAAATGTAAAAGCTTTACACAGCAAAAGTAATCATCAACAAAAGAAAAAGATAACCTACTGAATGGGAGAAAATATCTGCAAATGATATGACCAATAGGGATGAACATCCATGTATCCAAACAGCTCATACAACTCAACACCAAAAAACAAACAGCCCAATTAAAAAATGAGCAGAAGAACATAATAGACATTTTCCAAAAAAGACATAAGAATGACCAATAGACACATAAAAAGATGCTCAACGTTGCTAATCATCAGGGAAATGCACATTTCCCTGTCATTGTATGTATCATCACCTCACAACTGTCAGAATGGCCATCATGAAACTGGATACAAATAACAAATGTTGGCGAGGATGTGGAGAAAAGGAAACCCTCCTATACTTTGGTGGGACTGTACCTTGGTGTACTCATTGTAGAGAACACTATGGAATTTTCTCAAAGACCTAAAAACAGGACTACCTTATAAGCCAACAATTTCATTCCTAAGAATATATCAAAAAAACCAAAACACTAATTTTAAAACACATATGCACCCCAATGATTATAGCAGCATTGTTTACAACTGCCAAGATATGGATGCAACCTATCAACAGGTGAATGGATAGAGTCCATCAACAGATGAATGGATAAAGAAAATGTGATACACACACACACAATGGAATACTATGCAGCCACAGGAAGAATGAAAATTTTGCCATATGCAGCAACATGGATAGACTTGGAGGACATTATGATAAATGATACAAGTCAGACAGAGAAACACAAATATTTCATGGTATCACTCATATACAGAATCTAAAAATAACAAACGAGTGAATATAACAAAAAGAAACATACTTACAGATATAGAGAACAAACTATTTATCACCAGTGGGGAGAGGGGAAGGGGACAAGGCAACATGGAGGTAGGGCATGAAGAGTTATAAACTATTAGGTACAATATAAGCTATAGGGATATATTACACAACATGGGGAAATATAACCAACATTATTAATTATAAGTAGACTATAACCTTTGAAAATTGCAAGTCACTAAATTGTACACCTGTAACTTATAATAAAACATTAACCTCAAAGTATTTTTAAAGTATCCTATGATATGCTCAAAGTTTGAAATTGGTAACATTTAATGAATCGTGCTGGGGCCATAGAAACTTGATAAAATCACTTTTTTCCAGGTTATTAGTTCTTTTAACCTAGACACCTTAAAAGCAGTATAAAAAATTAGCAACTGACTTCATTCTATAATCAAGAATGTAAAAATTACAAACTTTATAAAAGGGCTTTATAAAGCAAACGAAGCATATCAGTTGAGACTAACTTTTTCTGTTAGTGGATACATATAGGTCAGTCAGAAAACAATTATGCCTGAAATATATAAAGGGTTGAGAAGGTTTTACTTGTTTGTCTTGGCTTAAGCTACCTTTGATTTATTCTCTTCTTTATTTTTGCTTATAGGGACAAAGAATCTTCAGCCTATTTGTGCCTGTCTTTAATAATAGATCATTAAAAGACACTGCTGAGATTACTGTTTTTTATTACGACACTGAAATAAATGTGAGTTCTACTTACCAATCTGTTTTAAGGGCAAAGATATTTAGTAACTAAACTGTTCTGAACGCCAGTCAAGACAAGGCAAAACCTGCACAAAGAGTGCAGTGAATTTTCCAGTTGGGTTTCTGCATCACTGCTGCTGGGTCTTGCTCCCTGTTAAGTGGCAACTATTCTTTCGAGATAAGATGCTATCACTGTTGGGAGTGTACCGACATTTTACTGAGGGATGCTGGAAGACTAAATCCTTATGACACAGAGGAATAATTCTCTGTGGATCAATTTCAGAAATCGTATAAGAAGTTTAGATAGAGAACTGCTTAGGGACAGCAAGCCCTACGGTGCATCTTTCCACTGGCCTCACCACTTACGTCGCCTGCCTGCTCTTATAGCTGGCCCTGAGATTTAATCTACAAACACTGAGGTGCATTTTAAAGGAACAAATTAGACAACAGTAAAGTTTCCAAAGCTTGTTTAAGTGAAAATGTCTTGTTAATGACTATAAGAGGACCAGCGGACACTTCCTGGTCTCCCAGAACACTGGACTTGCTGACGCTGACCCCCTTTCTGAACGTCCCTCTCTCTCCCGTCTCCCATCCCCATCCCCAAAAGTCCTCACAGACTCCTACCTATTTTCAGGCACCTAAAAGCTCACATGACACCTGCTTCCAAAACCCTCCTGATCCCTCCAGCTAACATAATACCACCTCTAAACCACTGCTAACATTTTCCTTTCATCTCTTTTGATATAAAAACATTTCTCTTGTTAGACTGTAGAATAACAGTGTAAGAGGATCCATTTTAAAATAAGATAAGCCTGGTTTTAAGACCCAGTTCCACTAATAACTACCTGTTTGACCTTGAGCAAGTGACATTAACCACCCCAGGCCTCTGTTTACCTCACCTGCAAACTAACATCAGTGACAGAAATGGCCTCAAACAGGTTAAAGAAGTGACTTAAAGTAAAAGGCGGAGGGCCAATCCCCGATGGCTCAGTGGGTAAAGAATCCACCTGCAATTCAGGAAACACAAGAGACACAGGTTCCATCTCTGGATCGGGAAGATCCTCTGAAGAAGGAAAAGGCAACCCAGTCCAGTACTCTTGCCTGGAAAATCCCATGGAGAGAGAAGCCTGGCGGGCTACACGGCCAACGGGGTCACAGAGTCAGCCACAACAGGGCAACTACGCACAAGAAACGAAGAGCTCCTCAGAGAAGAAGTTCTCTGTTCTTTCTGCCACTGCACCCAAAAAAGGAGCTTTTGCACTCTGCTTCCTAGAAGGGCTGGTTAGCCCAGTGGGAAGTGGGGGGTGCGGACTCCAGCAGCAGGGACCAGTAAAAAGGGAGCAAGCTGTGAACGAGTTGCCTGGGCAGGAAAGGAACCGGGGTGGCATGGAGATGTGAAACAAGATGCAGCCGGAGAGAGAAGCAATGGTCAGACCACCAAAAACCTTCGTGGTGAACTTAAGGGGTTTGAACTTTATCACGAAAGATACAGGAAACTGCTAAGGATTTTAAGCAGAAGAGTGATGTAACTTGATTGGCCAGCAATCGTGAGGCTTTTACAAAGAAAAGCTCTTTCAAAACGGCAATAAACTGAAGTATATAAAAACCTGTTCCCATGGAAAGAAACCGACTTCTATGTGTTTCCTGAATTAACTTCAGCTGGTTGTCTTAGTGATCATGCATTAGGAAAGCCACACGCCTTCGTCCATTAAAAACAAGAGACGCTTCTAGGGTCAAATAGGCAAAGTATGATGTGGGAGAGTAAATTTCGTGATTTATTTAAAGTTCTTTCCAATAACTTAATTGTGAAAAATAAATTTCTCAATCAGATCTCCTAAGCAACTCAAACTTTAATATGAAGAGCAAGTGAGTCCTAAGCAATATAATCAACTGGTGAGTCTTTGACTCTCTTTGGATAAAAGGAGTTCTAAAGTAGAAAATGTTCTTTAAATTATTTTTTTTAAGTGGGGTATCAAACTGTCAACAGCACATAAAGTAAACTGGGTACATGGCAATTATCCAGGTAATTAGATGAGTCTAAAAGTCAAATCAAATAACCTAGTTTATAATACCCACTAAGTGGCTTAATTACCTTTATAAAAGTAATGGGTTAATTCCTAAAATCCATTGCTTAAAAAACCTTCAGGCAAACTAAATTTCTCAGGGATGGAGACGTCACTCTATTATCAAAATCTAACTGAAAAAAAAAATTATAAATTTCATCATCCACCTGACACACATACAAAAAGCCATTCAGAAGAAAAAGGATAAAAATGTACAAGAAAAATAAGACTCTGAAACAATAAAAAAGGTAGTTAACATAATACACCGTAAAGCAAGAAAAGATAGAATTTGTTAATTTTTTTACATGTATTTTTTTTAAATCCTTATAACCAGCTTAGGACATAGATCCTACATCCCCATTTTACAGATAAAGATTCTGAAGTTCAATTTAAACAAAGCACATTTAGCTAATATGTGGTTGACAATATCAGAGCCTCAAACAGTTGTTCTTTTTCAAAAATTTCAGCACTCTATTTCCATCATATCTAATCCAGATGAACATTTGGAGAATGTTAGGGCAGATAAAATCCTTGGTATTCATTTAATTCCTTATTTTACCAAAGAGGAAATTGGCCCCAAAGAGATTAACTGACTTGTTCAAGGTCACAGAAAACTAACACTAAAAACCAGATCTTCTTTCCAGATTTCACTAAACCTCACTGCAACATTTTTGTTAAACTAAACTCAGATAGATATGTTGGCACACAGCACTTAATTAAACCTAAACCAACTAAAATCTAAGTATTTTTCCAACAACAAGCAGACTGTCCAAATCTCACTACTGAGGATCAACTAGAAAAGTTTTGGCTCAGATATTTGTCAAGTAGCCACTAAAAGGGAGCAGATTCCAAGAAGTCAATATTAGGATGCATGAATTTCTAGTCAAGACAGGCAAGAAAGACAAGCATTAGCAAGGCAAGCCAAGAGACAGTCAGGGAGATCAGAAGTTCAAACACCTAAGTGACCAAGTACAAACACAAAGTCTAAAGGGCCACAGACAGGTTCAAGGTCCCAGAGATAGGATCAGAGCAAGAGCAAATTAGAAATGAGAGGTGGGTGCTTGCACAACCCTGTTCCATGGGGCAGCAGGTGTGGTCCTGGAGTCGCTCTGGCGGGGGCAGGGGGTGCTGGGGAGAGGGGGCAGGGTGAGCACCTAGCAAAGGAGCAGACTGAAGCACTGCTCTCTGAAGAGAGTTCTCATTTTTACAAAAGCAGTCTCATTTACAGGAAGCACCAGCTTCCGAACAAGTGATTATACAAAAATCCATATTCACAGTTTACAGTATAAATAATTTAAGGGAGGTGAACAGTCCTGTTTATTCAGTATTTTAGCTTTATCCAGTTTTTACATTAAAAAACTAGGACACAGGGAGTGTAGCTTTTCACTTCAGTTACAAAGCCCATCACTACAAAACATACACAAAGCCAGGCCTTCTACCACTCTTAAAATTTATTAGCCATAGAAATCCTGAAACGATCTTCCTTGAAACTATACATTAATTTCTACAAAATGAGTACAGTTTGCAGAAGGATTTCTTAGTCCCCCACCCCAAACGACAAAGGCATCTGCCAATCCACCAGCAGTGTATCGTCTTGAGAGGCAGAGGAACAAATATATAAAACTATAGCCACTGTGCTTCAGTAAAGAATTCGCCTGCAATGCAGGAGACATCATAGATGCAGATTCAATCCCTGGGTCAGCAAGATCCCCTGAAGGAAGGCAAGGCACTCCAGTAATCTTGCTGGGAAAATCCCATGGATAGAGGGGTCTAGAAGGTTACAGTCCACAGGGTCGCGAAGAGTCAGGCACCAGTGAAGCAACTGAGCAACCTGCACACACCCATGCTGAAGGCTTTTAATCCATATGTGCTCAAATTCATTTTAATAAAACACACACACAGATACACACACATATACAACTGTATGCAATACAGACAGCTTACCTTTAAGTCACTTCCTGGTAATGTACCTACTCCATCCTTCCAATCCATAACACTGAATACATCAAATTCTTGACCACTTGTGCTAGAGGCAGATTCAGTCATGATTTATTTTTTAACCTGGAAAAGGAAAAAAGGGCATAGTACCACAGTGTCTACATACAAATCAGTTCTTATTTCAGTGGTCATTCCTTCAGTTTCCCTTAACTACATAATTTTCTTGGTCACAATGTTCCACATCCAGAGATTTAGAAATAACTGCTTCAGAAACATTTTTTTTGAGTGCAATCTAAAGTATATTACAGGAGAAAATAAGTTCTAGTTTAAACAAAAAGTACCATGGTAAACCTTTGCAACTGTTAGAAAAGGAATTCACTGTTTCATAGCATACTCACTTAAAACAAAAAATCTTGATCACATAAGGATAGAACTCTTCATCCTTTAAGTTTTTTCTTCCCCCTCTAAGACTTTGAAAAGAGAGTAGATGTGCATAAAGGAGAGTACCCAATATAAAATGTTGAAAAAGAAAAAAGAGGGGCCATTTAGATTTTAAAAAAAGAAGATAAAAAGAACAAGAAAATTCAGTCCATTATTGAATGCCATCTACACTAAATTTGTTAATTAAGTCTGTTCTATCAACACAACGAATACACAGTATGATTGATTCAATAAACTTATTTATTTAATTTAGTTGAAACAGCTGCCAAACTGATGTGCTTAGAAACAGGAAAACAGTCTCAAAATGTAGAGCAAACATAACAGGACTATGTTAAGATAACCAGTTTGGGTAGCTACACCGGGATAAAACTTTTAACTTTCATTTTTTTTTAAAAATTCAAGAACAAACTTTTCCATAATCATATAGCCACTGGTGGCAGTACTGATACTGTTATTCTGAGGCTGTGGTCTGTGTGGTATGAGATAAAACAAGTAAGTAATTACTATGGTGTCACTGACAAGTGGTCAAAGATCAACGGGTCCTAAATCTGAATGGAAGTATCATTATGATTTCATGAGGCACTTTGTTTTAGAAACATGCATATTTTCTCGCTTTGCCCAGACAATCGCCTAGTTTTCAGACTGTAGTCTCTAAATGCCATTTCTTCCAGGTCTTCCCAGAGGAGGAGCTAGCTGGCAGCAGGAAGTGTGCAAGATGAATCAGGAACATCTTATCAAATTAAAAAGCAAGGAAGCTATCAAAGACAGCAGAGTTCACACCAAAAGGACTCAGAGACCAATCTGAAAAGGCTTCTGTTAGCCAAAGTAAGGATATTAGCTGCAGTGACCTGAAATACATCAAGTAAGTTTAAATTATTATTATGAGTTCACAACGATATTCAAAACCAACCAATCAAGAACTCCCCATTGATCTCCTTTTGAGAATAAAAGGGAACCACTAATTCATTACTGGGAAAAAGAAACAAGGATTTATCCTATTATCACGTGAGATCAGTAAGAACTATATCTCAGGGAAACCAAATCATTGGTGAAAGAAAGCTTCCTTTTAGAAAAAAATTCTTGGTAATAAGAAGGAATGATGAAACTGAAACATAACCATTTGCATCTTTTAAAATACTGGCTCTAGACAATGACCATCAACCTTCTAAGAATACCTACCAAGCCAACACCATCTATGAAGCAGTCTTGCCAGGAAGAAATTATATCAAATCTGATGTGATCAAGTCTGTTCACAGGAAATACCATAGACAAAAGAACATGTGAAATCACACCAAAGAGATATAAGAAGCAAGATACACATTGTTCTGGGGACTCCAAGAGGTCCAGGAAGTCAAAATTATTTTCATAAAAATACTAGCACATTATTTGCCTTTTTCACTATGCTGATGTTTACGCTGGTGGGCCAAAGCAACAGTGGATAAACCTGCTGCAGCAGAAGCACCTAGCTACAGCAAGAGTCATTTCATTCTTCACCACCACACACCCAGTCAACACATGCCAAGACTCACTAAAGACCATCTCTGATGAAGTAAAATAATAAACTGTATAAAGTCTTGATATTTGAATACATATATCTTTTTAATATTCTGTTTGATGGAAGAGGAGGACGCTCACAGAGCTTAGGCATGCCAAAGTACATGGCTACATCTCCAGGGAAAGGAGACGCACGCTGAACAAGCTGGTTTTGGTGCTTTTGTTTTTTGAGTCCCACTTTTCCTTTAAAAATTATGTTTAGTCAAGTTTGGATATCTGGAAAACACATTGTCAAAAATAAATGAAAAGGGTTTCTCATGTGAAGGAAAATACTGACAGCATGTCACTAATGATACAATTTGAACATTTTGGAAAACCTGTATGCACTACCATGAGCCTGACAGCTTCCCAAGAGCTATAGACTCTTCCAAGAAGATGGATGGTGATATTCATGAATATGACCTTTAAAGATACTTAATAATGAAATATGTCATAACTCAGTTAGGCAGTGTTTTCCAAACAACCAATGCTTAAAGTTACAAAAGTATGCATGGTTAAAGGGTCCATTCAGAATGTAGGACAGGCCAATGTGATTTTAATGTAACAGAGTACAGAAAACTCATTGATAAGATTTCAAATCGCACACTGCAACTAACCTTTAAGAAACTACCACATGTCAAGTTTTGGTATAATATTAAAGAATATCCATCATTAAATGAAAAACTTAAAATATTCCTCCCTTTTCCAACTCCATACCAGTGTGAAGGAGACTTTCTTCACATGCTTCAATCAAAATAATATATTGCAACTGACAATGCAGAAACTGATGGGAGGATTCAGCTGTCTTCTATGAAGCAGACCATACAGAGATTTGCAAAAACGGAATATAGCGCTACTTTTCTCGCCTTTTCTTTTAAATTTTGGAAATTATCATTATATTTCATAAAAAGTGCACTTGTATATACTTAGGTAATCAATTTACCATTGTTATAAGTAATAAATAACCAATATATTTTAATTTCTAATGCAGTAAATATTGATAAGTGTAACACATACAAACAATAGGTCTTTGGGTTTTTCATTGTTTAGAGCATAAAGGAGACTTAGAGACCCAAAAGTCTGAAAGCCACTGCTAGACAAGATTAAAGAGTTGTTTTCTGCACATACACAAAAAAAATTTTTTTAAGGAATGATAAATAAGCAAACCAAAGAGGAAATTTGAAATTTAGATTGAGACATATTAGCCAATCATATTCTGCATTTCATATATCTGGTTTCAACCCTGATTTAAATTATTTTTTAAAAAAGATTATTAGGTAGGAGGGGAAATACGAATACCAACTATTTGATGATATTAGGGAAATACAGTTGCTTTTTTTAGAGAGATGATGACACATACTTTAAAGAGAGGAGGCCTTCCATGTATTTTTAGAGATACAAATCAGAATTGTGAGATGACATGCTACAAGGTGAGGAAGTTGCTACAAATTAATTAAGCGGTAAAGTGGTGAAACAAGACTGGCAGCATGCTGGTAAACTGCCAAGAGGAGTGAAGGGTCCAGAGCAGTTACTGTACTGCATCCTATACATCTTAAACACTCAACAGAAAAAACCCTGTATTTCTCTGAGTTATAATGTGAGCTATAAAGGCTTAGCATCCATGTATGCAAGTTGTAAAGGCCTGAGAAGAATCCATCTAAAAAGCAGTAAAACTAAGAAATAAATTAAGACTCATACTGATGTTCTCTATGACTCCTACCTCACTAAATAAACAACAGTAATGAACCTGACTTCCCTATTAAATAATGTAGGAGTGGCAACCTTTTCCTGATAGAGTGATAGTGTAATTTTCCCCCTGGTGGATAAATGAGGTAAAATCTGATTTTTCAAAAAGAAACATTTTAAATTTATTAATTCAATCTCACCTTTTTCCAAAAAAGGATTCAAAGCATTAGATAATTTACAAAAATTATTTCATTTCTTTCTTTCTCACAGAAAGATGCGTTCTATTATCCCTCTAGTTGATGGAGAAAGTGAGTTGCAGAGTTCAGTAATTTACCCAGAACCATATTTGGTGACACAGTCAGGATTGAACCCAGATCATCCTGCTTCCGACCCTGGTGTTTTTCTTCAACCACTGTCTTTTCCTGTCTCAAAGTCTTATCCCTTCTGAGAATCTGGCTAAGGCTATTTTTCGTTATTTTACTTTCTGGAACAAGAAAATCCAGAAACCAGCTTACTAGGTCCAAAGTTCTTGATGTATATAGATTAGTACCACATGTATCCTTTTAATAAAATGCCATCAAATATATGCTTATTAACAAAATGTCACTGAGACACATATACAACACATAGATATCTGGTCTTTTCCAGCTAAAACCCATAAATGTATGAAATTTACACCAGCAAAATCCTGTCTGTGACTAGGAGGAGGAAGAGAAAAATAAGAGAAATCTAAAAGCTATCACTGTACAAAGGCTGCAGTAAATGTTTATTATATATTTTAGGAAATAGCATACAAAGTACTAGTAATGTTACATAGTATATTCTGCCTATAAGCACATATCTAACATTTATAAAAATTGTTTTCATCCACTGTCTCATTCTAAGGTTTATGGACATTTTGTATAAAATATTATAGCATAAAAATATTCACTACCTTCCTTTCCTTTATCTAATTTTGAAGTCACTGGCTACTTTCACTATCACATAAATTATGAACAGCTAGTATAGATTAGGCATTTTTTCCACCATCTCCCAATCAGGTAGAACAACCAGAAGATAATATTATTTTAACAGAAGCTGTTTTTATGATACCTTTTTCCTCTTTTTCTGTCTTCTGTAAGTGTGTGATCTTGTATACAAACATACACAGTCTTTTCACGCCAACAAATTATGCTTCTAAGAGTTAAGCACAATTTTTTAGTACTTAGAAATGCTATCCTTTATATTTTCTTTAATTATCATCTGGCACTATCCCATCATCTCATGTGTAACCTGTATTCCACAGGCCTAAAAACCAGGTAGGTTAAGTCACTCATCATATAAGTCACAAGCAGTATTTCTCATTGTGCAGAAGCACACTCCGAATCTCGTTAAGTCTGCTGAGATTTCCTAAGGCCGCACCTTAAATGTGTACCATAATGGGTCCTCTGTGCTATTAGCCAAGATCT